GAGTCAACAACAGTGAAGCTTTTCATTTCTGTCAGTGCTGCTCTGGTTTGAAATGGGAAGCTTAATGAGAGCTCTTAACATTCACCATGCTTCATGGTCAGATTGATTCTTGTTTAGTTGTGTAAAATCTAAGATAAACACAATTTTCAATCAACAAGAAGTGGGCTCAGACAGCTTTTTGTGTTAAAGTACAAATTTTGAGTGACAGTGTAATGTGAATAGCAAGACAAGAAAATTATATTTATATTGTCCAATACTGCAAACCACACATTTGCCTTAATAGGTTCAAAGTGTGTACAGCATACGACACCCACCACCTCTGGTATATGCTTGTTTGAACTTCACCTTATCACATCAACATGGTGTAAAACAAAGCATGCTTTTTTTCATAAAATAATCTGCAGTTTGCAATAAAGTCAAACTAAAGAGATGCGTTTATTACAAATTAGCGTTAACATCGAAATAATTTTAGAGCACAAACCTGAAAAAAAGATAAATGTAAAAATCCTTTAAATAATAACAGACGCATTGATAGTAAATTAACACATGTCCATAAAGGGAAACGCACTGAAATCTATGATTTAATATGATAAAATGTACTTGTGATAATTCCTCATAGTTGCCAGTTCCAGTTATTAATTAGTTTGAGGTGAGTTAAGGGCCCTTTTCCAAGTTTAAGGTGGTATATAAAACATCTTTTGAGTGTGAATAATGCATTGATTTAACAGCTGATGACAGGACAGAGGTGTTAAGGATGTTAGTGAAGACCACTAATTAGTCTGACAGCGTGCTCTATTGTTAGTCTATGACAAATAATCAGTTTTGACTGTTGTTGACAGTAGTGACGTACATGTAATGTGTCTCTACATCAGCAGCCACTAGAGGGAGTCCTGGCTTACAGTGTGTGTGTGTGTGTGTGTGTTTGTGTGTCTCTCCCTGTGTGTGTGTGTGTGTGTGTGTGTGTGTGTGTGTGTGTTCCTGTCCTTGCAGGGGGTTTGACTTTGAGTTAGTCTGCCTCCAGCTGCTGACAGATATTTTTAGAAGCGTCATTCACTTCATACACTTGGTTTGAGTTTGCCTCATGCTGTCTTTCCTTTGATACGTTTCTTTTCATCGTCTTTTTGCCCCGAAGGAGCCCATGAACACACACGTAAAGATGGAAGCCTCTTTCTTGTGATGATGCCCTTGCTTGTTTCTCTCTCTTCAAACACTGTATTTTATATTTTTCTTTCTTTCAATAATGGGACCAATTGTGCCACTATAGATTTTATGTTTATAATGTTTCCAGAGGGAGTCACAGAAGCCTGGTTTAGTTACAATAAGTGAACCTCTGCTCACTGAGACTCAATGCTGCCCCTTTGTTTTTGTTTTTAAGAATACAGAGCTTAATACTTAGGCAAAAAAAATGTCGTTGTTGTGAATTAGGAGATTTAGTCAGCAATTTGAATTGTAAATTATGTTTCCTTCAAACAGTAAAGACTATTATGAAATGTTTCAGTTTTTGTAAAATAGGACAACCTATGGAGTTAGAGCTGTAGCAGTTTAAACTGCTTTTAAAAATACTTTAAAGGGTTAACTTTATAAAGACGCGGCTTGGTAATAATCACATAAAAGGAGAGAAATAGAATAGACATCAATCAGCTCTTTCAACAGAAAGCAGATACTGCTGTCATCACTTCACCTGCAGTGGAAACCTGTCAGAGTAAAGTAAAGTCTGAGGGGTTTTCCCACACCCAAGGAAAATGAACCTATCAAACAGGAAAATGTCAATTTCAGGATAAAAGCAGGTAATGACGGGGCTCAGGTTTAGTCTGCAGGCACATGTGTGTTTTCTGACCCTGCAGCTGCAAAGTACAACAAGAGAGAAGGAGGAGCGGGATGATACCGACAATGACTTTAGATTTTGAGGGCTTCATGCTTTAGTGATACCAATCAATACATCCTTCAAACCATGTTTAAAACTTGTAACAACACCGCATTAGCAACAACAAACAAGGCAGCAGGTAGTCTGGAGCTTCACAGTAAAATAGAGCACATCTGTCTTGTCCTTTCACTTTAACTCTGCATCAACAATTTATCGAACCCATCAATATAAGAATAACAACTGTACAACAATCATAAACCTATTTAGTACGCTAATATTAACGGCACAATGAGACACCGTTACAGATGTTACACAACTGACGTCATGATACGGTCCATTGCACCACTGCGTTTGTCGAGGCAATAAGCAAATAAAAAAACTAGTACCGTTTGACAGTTTCCAGCCAGTGTTTGACTCGCTCACAGTTTGGCTGCCATAGCTTCCCATTCATTATCAAACTCAACAAAAACACATTTGAAAGTAGCGCTCGGAGCCAGAGACTGATCAAAACACGACAAGTTCATCTATACAACTTATAAAAGATATTTGAAATATTTCTTACATCATTTGAAGTTTCGGTGACTGTAGTTTTAACTTCAGGTGTTAGCAGACTGTGTGATGCAACCAGTTATGGAAGGTGATTAGGGTCAGGCAATAGAAATAAACAATGGCAGGAGGAAGATGTCCTTAGTTATGCACTTCCAGAAACAAGAATAAATGTCAAGAATAAAATTTAAAAAACTTACAATTTTGAGAATAAGGTCGCAGTTTCTACCCTTTCTGACGACAATGTCATCTGTTTTTGTGAACTCTGATATGAATTTAAGAGAATGTTTAAATAATTTTAAACATAAATAATTTTTTTTTTAGAAGGTCATTTCCTGTCTGATTTGACATGTTTGAATCATTGTAATTCAACTGTCTTTCAAAGATTGGGTTGGTATTTCCTGACCTCTATTGCCTCTTTCTCAGAAACTGGAACAAACGACAAAACTTCATCTATCTTTCTTCTTCCTCTTCTCTCAATGCTTGTTTTTTAGTCTCAAAGTAATAAATATATGACAACAAAAAATGTTTTCAGTGTTAATTGTCTCAAAAAGTCAGTGTTTAGTGTTTACCCTCGCAGTCAGTTAAGTTACAACTACACACAACATTTTGTTGTACAATTAACTAAAAAATCCCAACACCTAAAATATTGTTAATCATACTTTGAGAGCAACCGAATAATCAGAAACTACTTTAATTGCTTTGTGCTTTACTCCCTTTAATATTTAAAACCAATGCTGTGTAGATTTTACAAACTTTGTACAAATGACTTAATTAAAAAAATATCTATCTAAAAAAAAAGATGCTTTTCAAACTTAATCTAAAGATATTTATAGGATACAATTTACAACAAAATGTATATCAGTTAAATCTTAAAGGAGAACAATGAGAGTCTAACATCTCTGAGCCCTCGTCTGTTGTTTTTGTTTTACTATCAAATCTCTCTCTCTTTCTCTTTTCAAATAACATGCTTCACATCTATAGCTCTGGTGAATCATTTTAGAAATAGCCTCTCTGTAAGTATCACAGCACTACAGAGCTTCCCTATGGACCAGCCCTGTATGGCTGCAGAAGCTAAAGTGTCTTTGTCTTGGATCGATACAGTCAAGTCTCTGCTCTTTGTGGCCCCAACACCTCATGTTGTGTGTGTCTGGAGACTGAGAGAGAGATGCAGCAAAAGAAATCCCTTTTTAAAAAACAGGCTTTACTGCTCATCTGTAAAGGTTCAAGTGTTGTTTGAGGGTTTCTAACAAACCAAACAAACAAAAACAATTTTTTTATGATTTTAAAAATGACAAAATTAAAGTTTTTGGGAGATACGGGAAGAACTCGACTGCGGGAAGTATACTTTGAAAAATGATAGGTAACATTATAAAGAAAAAAAGGTTTATCGCAGATAAAAGTGTACAGTATGTTACTCGGTAATGCAAACACAATTCCATACACTGCTAATGAACATAGCAAATACATAAAGAGAACAACCATAAAACAGTAACGGTCAGATTCAATAATCAGGTGTTCAATTGACGATATTTGGTTTTCTATCCATAGGTGTTGCTTGGAAGCACAGGCGCTGCCCCAGTGTGTCCCCCAGGATTGTGACATGCTGTGACACAAAAAACACTACAGGACTGACAGCTACATTTGGAGGGCTGCAGGTGTAACCAGCAGTTAGCTATGAAGAACCCCCCTGGATTTTTACAGTCTGACTACAATTGTACAATTCACTTAGCAGACGCTTTTATCTAAAGTGATGTATTCATGCATTCATACACCACCACCACCGGGGTTAAGTGTCTTGCCCAAGGACACATTGGACATGTTGCTCAGCTGGGGATTGAACCCTCGACCTTCCGGTTGAGAAGCGACAACTCTACCAACTGTGCCACAGCTGCCCTTGATTAGCAACTTCAGAAGGGAAAAAAAGTTTCAAAACAAAGTTTAAAAGTCAAATTGTAGGCTGCACTCGCCAGCAGATATATCTTAAAATAACCCTAACCCAAGTCATTTGAAAATATGATTAGTTCTTTAAAATTCTAAGACAAATCAACATGTCAATATACTTTACCCCCCAGGAAAATGTAAAATAATTATTTTTGGGAGCTCAAGAATTCTGTCTCAACACTTTGCATACGCCTTCGATGTCCTTTGTTAATTGGTAATAAGTCAATATTAGTCAAATTAGCAAACCTACAAGGGCACACCTTTGTAGCATCAGCACTGTAGTAAGGATGTTGTGAACTTTGCTTTGAGCTCAGAGCTCTACTGAAGCACAGTCTCATAGAGCTGCTGTAGATTCTAAGTACTGTTTAATGTGTTGTCTGTGCATTTCTGGTCTTTACAGTAGAATAAAACTAACGACTAACTTTTAATGATTTTCCATAAAAAGCTGTACAAAGACATACAAATGTCTGCTTTGTGAGTCAGATGTCCCATGATGTTGCTTTGGTGGACTTGTACGGTTGAGTCAAATGCAGGATTCAGTAAAACACAAAAAACACATCTTTCAAGAGCTTTTTATTCGAACATTCAAAATGAAAAAAAAAAAAAAATCTTTACATAAACCATCAGACAAAAAGCAACAAACAAAATTAAAAAAATGTGAGCTGCATAGATACAGAAGCAAGCTGGGCATTTAAAAAAGTCAGAACGCATTAGAGTGGTTTTTAGAAAGGTGAGGTTGAAACTGGAAAAGCAACAGGTCTAAAGCAACTATAAAAAAGATGAAAACATTGCGGGAACACACTCTGCTTTTTGCGCATGCTCCGACAGCTGGAAGCTATGTGTGGATGTACATGCATGTACTTGCTCATTGGGTCCATAGGCTTCTCTTAGTGTCCCATATCAGGTCCAGGTAGGACCTACTGCTTGTCGCGATCAAGGGCTAAGCTACAAGAACGCACGGGACTGTGTAGTCATGTCCATTTGCATGCATGTGTATGTTAGCACGTCTATTTGTTGCGGTAGTCGTCTGCGTAGCCTCTGTGATCCTCCTGCTCTGGGAACTGGTCTCCGTAGCGCCTCAATATGTCCTGGAGGCTCATACCCTGTGAGAGGGGCTGGTAGGACATGTGAGGTTCCTCCTGGCCGCTCTGGAAGGGCTCGGCCTCATATGGGTCCTGTTCCTGCTGCTCGTGTTGCTGCTCTGCTGCCCCCTGGTGTTGGTCCTCCTCAGCGTAATGCTCGGGCTGGGCGACGGCATGCGACTGCTCCGGCTCGACGCGACGCAGGCGGCAGTCAGGGTCGTGTTCAGGGTCACAGTGTGGGTTGGTTGGCTCCAGGACGCCGCTTCGGGAGCCGTCGGCATTCAGGTGGGGTTCGTAGGCTTCAGCGGAAAATGCGATTTGGCGATGAACCCCGGAGCGAGGATTGCTGGGCTTCGCGGGAAAGCAATCGCGATCGTAGCCGATGAAGCAGTCGTAGCCCTCCTTGGTCTTACCTGGGGGGCCCAGAGGGTGGCGCTCCTCCCGGGTGGGCTCTTCATAATTGGGATTGGAAAAAGGATACTGCTGCCTGGGGGTGGGATGACCACGGCGATGCATGGCGGCCGCGGCCTCACGGATCGCAGCGAAAGGATCATTGGGGTTGGACTCCGGAGCGGCCTCCATTTGGGGAGCAGCCTCCATCCGGGGAGCATATGGGTCGCTTGCTTGAGCTTGGGCCATGAATCGGCGCAGAAGTGCATATGGGTCGTTTGCTGGAGGAGAAGCTGGGGCGCTAGGTTGGCGATACATAGCATAAGGATCTGAAACTCTGTTAGCATTAGCATAAGCGTCCCTAAACATAGCATACGGGTCGTGGTTCTGCTCTGCAGGAGACGGGGCAGCACGAATGGCAGCAGCCTCCTCTCTCTTGTCAGATTTGTATGACTCAGGTGGAGTGGCAAATCTGGTGGCTGTAAGGGGTTGCAGCCTTCCTCGAAAAGAGGGTTGCAGGATCCAGGACCAGCAGGGGCAGGGGGGTTAGGGGCCCGCGGTGCCTGGAAGACAAGTCATCATTACTAAGGCATGAGAGCACATTATAATGTGAAGTTACAAAAGGCAGATGTTAAAAATCTAATGGACTGAAATTACAGAAATGCATTGCAGTAATAAAATAAAGCATACCACAAGGGAGGCAGAGTAGGCGCAGAGCGGGTCGCGGACTGGATCACAGTTGGGGTACTGCAGGTAGAGACCAGAGGGGGCTTTCTGCACCAGCTTGGCTTTGCATTTAGGGTCTTTGCTAGGGTCGCAGCCAAGGTGAGCGTAGGAGGGCGGAGGTCCAGCAGAGGGTGCATAACCTTGGGCCGCTCTCAGGTGGTACTGCAGACACTCCACGTCTTCAGAGGAACAGATACGCAGGAGTTCAGCCTTCTGCTCCTGATGTGGGAAATACAGACAGACTTGGTACCTTGGTGACATAGTGTTTAGAGGAACTATTATATCTCACAGTAATCCTAGAATCTTTTCATTTTTGCTTTTGTAAGGACAAAGTTTAGGATTTTTTTGAAAGACTCTACAAATTAAGACGAAAACAAGTTTAATTTAACATTGTCTTCAGGCCTTGATTTTTAGTATTGACGCTGCCAAAGTGTGTTCTTTACCTAATACACTTTTACATCATGTGTTTTATTTTATTAATTGAATAATTGAGTCTAAAGTGGACTTTAAGAATTACATTTGAAAAAGTGTCTGAAAGCATACCTTGGAAAGGAAAGGCACTGCGGATGGAGAGTAGTAGTGAAACCCTGACTGTGGGTCCTTGGCTTGAGCAGCAGACCTGACGTAGAGAGGTGCAGGGGCCTTCACTGGTGCTGGGGCGGCATCTGGGATCACCAGGGGCAGGTAGGGGCTCTTGCCCTGGACCAAAGCAGCATACAGACAGTAGGGGTCCTTGGTGGGATCACAGGTTTTTACTGGTGCAGGCTTGGGGGGTTCGGGTTTCGGTTTGGGCCTGCTGGTGTAGGAAGCCACACAGTTGGGGTCATCGGAATCAGAGCAGGACTTGTATACCTCCCCCAGATGGCGCAGGTAGGCTTTGTAGGAGCGACGTCCCTCAGCGCGATTCTTGTTCTGGAGGTAAGCCAAGTAGATGCGGTCCATCTCCTGAACCTGGGAGAGGAGGAGGAGGAGGAGGAGGAGGAAGGAGGAGGAGGAGGAAGAGGAGCAGGAGCAGGAGCAGGAGGAAGAACTTTTTCAGAATATGCTTGAGCACAAAAGCATAGACTTCATATATGGTATCACTTTGAATTGTCTTAAGTATCAAAGAGTTGTTGTCTGCTTACAGGGTGGCATCTAACAGAGCACATATAGCTAGCATTAGTTAAACTTCCGGGGAACTGCAGAGTTTACTTCTAATTCTATGTGGAAATACTGGTGCAAGTCACCTGACAAGTTACAAAGGTGTATGACTCATTGGTTATTTAAAATTATTGAAAACTGCATATGCTTTTTGTTTCATCTGAAGACTTATATTTACAGTATATATTAGTCACCTGCAATGTTTCTTAATTTCACATATTAAAATTCTTCACTGTTTTGCATTTATTCATAATTTTTAAACATCTAATCACTGTTTTCTGTCTTCCTAAACTGTCTTGTCTTGCCTTCAGTATTTGTGTGTTCACTTACTGCCTCCGTATTTCCATTTTCAGTGAAGAACTTGTACCATCCCCAGAAGTCGGAGTGCTGTTTGTACCAGCTGATGTTCCTGCGGTTGCGGCTCAGCCTCCTGTGTAACTCTGCAGCAGCTGAGCTCTCCTGAATATTCTCTCCTGCTGAGATTTTAAAAAAAGAAAAGATGGCACAGCTGATCCTAATTCTTCAACGCTCAATTGGACATCAAATTCTTTTTTCATGACTTTGAAAGTTCGCGACAAGATATTCAAGGTCTTAAACTTATTTACCAAGGGTTAGGCGTCATTAAGCCATAATTGTTGTTACTTGTCGACCGTGTGATGATGGATACCTAATGTGATATAGCTGTGAGTCTGGTAAGTGCTGATGATACATTGAAGCAAGGTGAAGTGTGGCGATAAATCAAGGTGTTACTCTTTAATCTAAAAGTACCACCTTGGACTCATATTTCAAGAACTTTTTTAGTCTATTATCCCTGGGAACTTGCAGCTTAATACTTTGAATTAAAGAATTGATTCGAGCCGGGCCGTCCACTTTGAGGACTATGGTCTCCGTACGTGGGGCGCCACTTAACCGCTAGGCTATCTGCACCCCACAGTAGCTAAGTTAACATACAAAATACGCTGTTATATTTGAAATCTGGAAATATGTTACATGCATTTTCGCTTTCTAGACGACCAACTCAAAGCAGTGTTATGATATCAACAGTTTGAAACAGCAGTTGACTAAAAACAATTTAACAGCAGTTGATCTGTAAATAACTGCATTGTGAATAAGGTGAATGTGTATGCAACACGATAAAGTTCACATATTTACCATCTCCCTTCTGCTTCTTCACAACTGGTCCAGCAGACAAAAATGCTAGAAATAAAGAGAAAAAGAAAAACAGATTTAAATCCAAAAACTTCTATAAGTGTTTTTTTAATGTGCCTTTAATATATAAATTTCAATAAATGACATTAAAGCTCAAATAATTCCTGCGGATATTGTTCCTTAAGTAGGGCGGGGGTAATTGGCTCTGCCTGAAGCTCTGGAGACTGCAGCTCTTTGTAGATTTTATAGGTGAGCCTTTAACTTCAGGCCCCACGCTGCGCTTCCAAAGAGCTGTGTTTGCACTTGTCTCATGTGTTCGTATGTGCACTGTTTGACCCCATGCAGCGAAGGGAACAGCAGATTCAGCTTGGTGTTTCTTTCATCTCGGCGGGGAAAAGGTGTTAATGCCTTACAGAAGGAGAGGGGAAAAGGATGAAGAAGTGAACAGGTTTAAGAGAGAGCGATCCAGAGGGGGATAATTCAGGGTTTTGTGACGCGTGACAGAGTTGGGAAAACACCAATCTTCTGATTAAAAAAAAACAAAAAAACAAAAAAGAGTTGTGATAAGCTTTGATGGGAGTAATCAGGCAGATGTGGTGCTCACTGTAGCGTGGAAGGTCAAAGATGAAGGGTAACAAGCATGAATTTACAGAGGAAAGAAAACAGAATCAAAGAAGAAGCTGAAGGTGACCCGGGGTGATGGAGAGATGTCGAGGAGGAAGGGGAGGAAGGGGAGGAAGAGGAGGGAGGGCTAAATGATGCTGTCTCAGTGGATCGGCTGTTTGTTTCTTTATGAGCCTGTAAAATACTGGCTGGCACATCTGGAAACAGAAGCGCTTTAAGAGGGCAGAGGAGGAGGTGATGCTGACAGGTACTAATTTTTTACAGGACCAGGAATGATGAAAGAAACTCCCCCCCCCCCCTTTAACCATCAAGACGTGCGATTTCTAAAACCACCTTTAAAGGGAAGATAACTCTGCTCTGCTGTAAATATGCCAATCATGTGGAAACAGGTGGTGCAGCCGGTCTTTATGTTGAAGCTTTATAGATGATTTATGAAAACCAAGGGCTGTGTTAGAGACACATTATGATAAAAAAAAAGCTGCACAGTTGAGTTACAATCACTCTTAGCCAGCTTAGCAATGACAAGATCTTTGACCATGAACTGATGGAGGGCAGAAACCCTGAGCAGGCCGACTAACCCGTCGCCTGAAACCTTGCAGGCCGGATTACGCAGCTATAACTCAAATGCCTTATTATCTATTCAGAGGTTTAAAAAAAAAAAAGCGGAGTAACACTGAGGCTTCAGAGCAAACTGAAGAGTGATACGCAGAATGTAGAAACACAGGCTGAAGGAGATAACTTGTAAATGTTAAGCGCATATTTTAATGAAGGAAATGCTCTCTACTTCTAGTCCACTGTATTTTCATGACACATTACTTTATTTTTAAATCCATACATTTCTGGAGAGTATGAATTTAGAAGCTTTGAAGATACAAAGTGATTTTTACTTAACAAAAAAAAACCCACAACAAAAACATATGTCCATATCCTAAAAGTTGCCCTATGATTTTAGGATTTTATCACAATATAATCCAGCTCTACAAGCTGAAAGCAAGAAATTTAACTGTAAAGAAAATATAGAAAAAAACTGTATTTTCTTATTATTTTTTAAATCATATATAATTACAATCAAAAGTCCGCTGTTGAAAATCTGCGTTGTACTTTTACTTAAATAAAGAATCTGAATACTTCTACTTGAGCGAGTGATTGCATATGCTTTCATTTTACCATTGACTCCCTGCTACAGATGTTTGCAGATGTTCTGGTCCTCACTGCGTACTCACCAGGCAGCAGCATCAGGGCCAGCAGAGTGGCGACCATCACACCAGAGAAACTGGTTTTCCTCCTTCCAGCCATGACTTCACCTCCTCCTCTCTCCTGCTAAACACAGACACACGTTCAAAGTCAGGCTGTCCTCCATTAAAACATTCAACACCATCACTTTTACACCTTAAAACTCCTCGTTTTAATCTCCAGATACATTTTTAATGTGAGCGTAAAGTCACATTTTTTGTTGCTCCAAATTCGAGGGGGGGTATTGCTAAAATAATAAGGTTAAATTTCAAGTTTTTTTCTGTACAGCTGCAGATTTAGTTGCAGAACTCAGAAAAAAAGCCCACAAAGATGATTTGTAAGCAGCCGGAATTCTCCCTTTTGAAGACAAACTGCTTTTAAGGTGTTACATTTCACTTCTTAAGATGTGCATGTTTACACCTGGAGGGCTGTGACCTAAACAAACATGTTGCCACTTAGCTGCTGGCTCGTCATAAAAAAGACAAAACCAGATGTTGTTCAGGGCTCAAACTTGACTCCAGCCTGAACTTGGATCCCTGGAAAGTACGTAAAGTAAACATTAAGTCTCTTACCTGTGGTTATCTTATCAGCCTGTCTGTCTGTAGATCCAGATGTGGACTCAAATGATGACTCGGCCCACCTGGACTCAAACACTAATTTTGTGTGAGTGTGTTTTTGTGCGGGGTTGTGAAAGAGGTTCCTCTGCACCCTGTCCCTGTGGCCCTCCTGACAGACTGCTCTGACGGAGGGATCGGACGACGGTTTTAAACCGAACACACACACACACACACACACACACACACACACGCAACAAACACTCATTAACAGCCACACAGTAGAAACACATGTAGGGAAGCACCTGAGGGGGTCAAGGGCCACCGCAACGAGACGCCTGATTGGTTGGAAAACTTTCAGAAAGTTCTACCCAATTGGAGGAACCGTAATTAAAGACAGAAAAAGAGGGAAGGTGGGAGGGCTTGAAGCAGACATGGAGACGTGGAAAAAGGTACAGGACGTTGTCTTTTGAAGTAAACAAACTTCACAATTCATTATAAATATTTTATGTCATGTTGAAGGGTTAGAGTCAGAGTTTAAGTCGTGTTTTTTTAAATGCAATAATCCTCCAAAACGTGTAAAACAATAAAGAACAAAACATCATTAGAGAGCAGACATGAGGATATAATGAAGGGGGGCTGAGGTGCCACATAAGCACTTCTCAGAGACCCTCAATGATGCCTAAACCACAGCTTCACACATGCAGGGGACAGCTGGTCTACACATGAGGAATTTGTTAATCTACAGTTTCCTCCTCACTTAAACTGTGTTCAGGCATGCCAGCCTGGTAAGACACATACACAGGCCTTTCTTTTTTAAGGGTCTCTGTAAAGCCTGTATAGCTGCAATGTGTGATGCAATATCAGCACATATGACTGGATCAGCCTGTAACACTCAGGAGTCTTATGAGGTTTGAGTGCAGACCGGCTTCTGAGTGGGTTTTATTAGATTATGCAGAGAAAAGGGTCGGCTTTTTCATACCTGAAATGATTTAACTTGAATCATTCATGTTTATTGAAGACAAAATGAGTTTTTAATCAGAGTAGAGCTCAGCGAGAGGATATTGTCTTTGGAAAATAACCTCCCTTTGAACAACTCGTGCACAGGTTCGTTTAAGCACAGAGACTAAACTTCTTTGATTTTCCTATTTCAGAAAACTGAGACGTATTTTCAAAGCACACTCATAGTGCTTCTTGTAATCTTGAGTCTGTTTGGGTTTGGTCTCTTGAGGATCTTAGGGACTTTTCTTTTTTAGCAAGGGCCATTTTTTTTGCCTTTATTAAGTTTCTGAAGAGAGACAGGAAATGTGGGGAAGAGAGTGTGGGATGACATGCAGCAAAGGGCGGAGGTCGGATTCAAACCCACAGCCGCTTGGATGAGGACAATAGCGTCTGTACATGAGGCGCGCGCCAAAAACCCGCTAGGCGCCCCGTCACAAGTGATTGTTATCTGTAACGATGAAGTAGAGCTTTAACATTCGGCCTCTTTATGATCACTGACTGCATCTTCACTCTTTGGCTCAGACGATGATTTTACAGCCGGAGTCTGCACCTGAACAAGACCGCTTTATTTGCTGTTTTATTTTAGTATTTCCACATTTTTTTGCAGCCCCCTTTTCCTGTCCCGTCCCGTCGTGAGCATTTAGCGGTCATGTTAACACTGAATCTCGTATGTAATTAACGTTTGCTAACAGGTGTTTCGCAGAGCCAGCAAACCTGCAATCCAGCCAGGAGCAGATTCAAACACGACAGCGCCAAAACCATACTCATAATTTTCTCTGAAGCTGGAATGTGAGCGATCCTCAGAATTTAAAAAAACACCTGGTTCACCAATGAAGACAGCTTTTTTTATTTTCTGTACAAAAAGAGAGAAAAAGGCTTTATTCAAGTGTGGTGGTGTGGGACATGTTGGGATATAAATAAGACAGAAGCTGTGGTCAGAATGAGCACGATTTCATTTTCTTATCGACACGTTCACAGTGAAGCTCAGGTGTTCAGGGGATGTCGTCACTGCAGGTCGTCGTCGTCGAACAGATCCTCAAAGTCTGCAGGTAGAAAAAAAAGAGAAAGACACAAAAAGGAGAGCAGGGTTAGAGGAGGTCCAGCTGTTTTATCAACTATAACATCCTTACCTGTGAATTACGTTTTGGGCACTTTTCTGCAGCTTTTATTTTGTTAACGTTTATGGTTTACTTATTAGATTAGTAAAATGAAGCCACATGTACGAGTAATACGACACTTCACATGCGCTGGTTGACTAAACACATAGCGGCTTGTCTCTAAGCTTCACCCGACGAGTAAAATAAACACTGAAGATCATTTTCCAAAGTGTCCCCAGAAGGAAGATGCATTTTTAAACTCAATGCAGAGCAAAACAAGAGGTGCAAAATAATTTATCATTTAAAAAAACTGGATTTGTTGACATTTCTTTCAGAGCTTTTTGATCTTACGAGTCAACGCTGTATTTAGTTTGTAGTTTCATCTGCTGAAAGTGAATTAAAAAAAGTTTTCTTTTTTAATTGGTGCTACTTTGACCACTAACATCTTTTGCGTTAAGTGTCGTTAGTTCCAAAGTAAAACGTACTCTGACCATGTGAGTCGTCTTTTGGAGACACATCCACCACGATCTAACTGTTGAAGAAAGTACAGAAATATTCCTCCAGGGTTTTTCAAACTAAAAGTGATTTGCAGCTGTAATTAAACACTATAAAGCATCACATGATGTCGGCTTTAATCATACTTATTTACACCAATCAGCTCAAAATGTCCACGGGCTGAACCTGTGTCAGCTCACCAGGCTTTGGGAACTCTTTTCTTTCATGTCTGTGTGGTTTCCAGGAACAGGACATTCCTGTGTTCAGCCTAATAAGGGACAGAGTGAGTCAAAAAAAAGCCTTCCCCACGGCTACCCATAACCCCTTGCAACTGTGAACACTGTAAACAAGCCCCCCTGACCCCAACACTATACCTTCTTTTCACAACCTGTATTTCACACCGATAAGTTGACCTTTTTAAAAAGGCTTTAACATGATGGTGTCATGTCCGCGTCAGGTCAGAGAAAACCTGAAGTATGGAAGACGTGGTGCAGGCTTTTGTTTCACATCCCTTGACTTGAAGTTAAAACCTCATCATTGCAGTTTTCTAAGCCGGATCTTATCCACAGGGTAAATGTGTAACAGGACCACAGCATTAGTTTGTTTGCTGTAAACTGTTTTTCGGCTCCTCCACTGATATGTTGATACGTAAAACACAAAAAGACAAAATACCAGTTAGCAGTTGAATTCTTTTTTTTTTAAAGTGGCTTAAATGAAAATTTTGCAGATATTGGATCAATCACAGAAAAGTAGATCTGCAGGGGCGCAATGGTTGGTGTGTGCACCCCATGTATGGAGGCTGTCGTCTCAAGCGGCCCGGGTTCACATCCCACCTGTGGCTCCTTTCCCACATGTCATTCCCCACTCTCTCTCTCCCTGATTTCCAACTCTATCCGCTGTCCTATCTCTCCATTAAAGGCATAAAAAGCCCAAAAATAAAACTTTAAAAAAAAGAAAGTAGATCTGCAAGCTCCACCACCAGTGTTTCAATCCTTTTAAAGGGAATTAATCCCAGAACTTTAAGACCCACAGGCTCTGTGTCCGCAGGCTGATCACGACCTGTCCAGTAGTCTTTGTTAGTGTTTCCACTGCACACTTCATCGCGGTCTGTCCCTGAGTAACATGTGTTTTTGTACGTTGTTCTCTTTATTCCTGAGTGATCTTGTAGTTCTCCTGAGATTTTTCATCTTTACCGCACACACAGAGCCCGTTGGGTCTCAGCGTGAGGTTGAAAACCACAGTTTCTTCAAATGTTTCTCGATCCTGAGGAAAGTTTCTGCAGCAAAAAGGGCTTAAGGTTGTAGAGTTCCTTTAGTGCTTCAGAAAAAAACACAACATTCTGTTTCTAATAAAACCTTTAAGTTGCATCATTCTGTTCACAAACTGTCTGTCAGTCTAACTCTGACTGAAACACAGCATTCAAACATTTTCAGTGGATTTCATTATTGTCATGAAGGGACCTGAGGGGACTCCCCGTTAGTGCCTCGAGCAAGTTTGTACCATTCATGAGATTTCACCAACTGACAGTTTCACAGTGTTTACAACCCAGGTGATCTCAAACCTGGGTCCACATGGTGTGTGTGTGTGTGTGTGTGTGTGTGTGTGTGTGTGTGTGTGTGTGTGTGTGTGTGTGTGTGTTTTTTAAAGCAGCTGACTGGCGAGGTGTCCCGCTGTGTTTCAGTCTGACTGCAGCCATAAACTCTCTTTACCATCCTCCCTCGCTCTCTCCTCCTTTCCTCTTTCGTTCTCTTCTTTTTTAACAATCAGCTCTTTTTTTTTTTTCTAGGTCATGTGCTGCTGAGACAAAAATTGTTTTGGCCTGCAGCCCGACGCTGCAAGACGGAAAACCGATTAGCCTGGTGCTTTTGTGCGTCCTCTGCGTGCGTGTGTGAGGAACACATTCACTTGTGTTTACAGGGAAATAACTGGATTTTTGAGGGTTAGTTAAAAGAAGACATTGTGGTTTAAGCAAGAAAACAGGATAACGTGCTTCCACTAAAATTCCCTTTTTAATGCAGATTGTTAATCAGCTGTTTCTCCCATTTATTCATATTTTTAAATACTGGAATATTCTGGGTGTTCCTAGTGATATAATGCAGCCACTTAAAAGATGTTTTATTATGTTTAGGTGTTGGAACAGTTCTTCCTGATTCAGCTTCCTGATCTCTTAAGTTATAGAATAGAATTACTTTATTGATCCCAAACTGGGAAATTGTGGCGTTACAGCAGCAGGTTATCAAACAATAATAGTAAATATGAGTAAAAAACACAATGTTAGCAAATCTAAACATAATATAATATTAAATACAAAGTAAATAAGCACTAGAAATATCAAAACTAAGAATGGGAATATATACAACCAGGATTTAACTAAGCATTACTAGTCTTAAATAGGAAGATTAAATATGAAGATTAAATGTAAATGTGCAAAACAGAGTTGTAAATGGACAGTTTTGACTTAAGTTAAAGTGCATAAGTGTAGACATATAAACTATACAATGTAACACACCTTAAGTGAAAGCTTAACACGCAGTAGGTGAGGCTGAGTCTTTTGATGCTTCTTCTGTAGCATCATGCAAAATGTCTTTGCTCATACTGAATAGAGTCATGATACAAATAAAAGAATATAACATATATTTCTCTGCTGTGGTCTGCTGGGGGAGCAGCATTGGAGCTGGTGACACTAAGAGACTGGACAAACTCATTAAGAAGGCCTGCTCTGTGATAGGCTGCAAGCTGGACTCTTTATAGCAGTGACACTTAACAAACTGTTATCCATTATGGATAATCCTGATCACCCTCTGCACACCCTACTGGACAAACAGCAGAGCAGCTTCTCCAACAGACTGATCAACTCTGCTGTCACAAGGACAGATACAAGAAATATTTCTTACCGAAGGCCAGAACTCTGTACAACAGCTCACCTCATGTGAGTAGAGAACTGTCATCATGATAATATCTGTCTCTCCTCACTGTCATCTGTTCTGCACATGTTACATTTACAAATGATCCCTGCACTCATGTTCACTTCATTTGTCTGTCTACTCGCCGTTATATTGTATAGTTTCTGCTTATAATATGTCTACACTCATGCACTTTAACTTATGTCAATACTGTCCATTTACAACTCTGTTTTTGCACATTTACATTTAATCTTCCATATTTAAGACTAGTAATGCTAAGTTAAATCCTGGTTGTTTATTAACATTCTTAGTTGGGATCAATAAAGTAATTCTACTATATTCTATTCTATAAAGCCTGTTGATGACACTTGTTTTTAGTTCAGCTTTTAAATACTTCAGCAAGATTTGTGTTTAAAATATGAATCACATTTATTAAGAATCTATTTAATTTCTCATCCACTCTATATTGAGTCACTTAGATGGGAAATAAAGTAAGATAGACCCTTACCATTAAAGAAATCAGAGTGAACTGCTTTCTCATTGGCTGCCAGGTCCATCAGCAGGCCGCTGCTGCCCCCTGCCTGTCAACACACAGCAGTGCAAACACACATTACTCACTACTTTTAAATTCACAAACACATGGCATAATGATAATAATATTAATTTACTTACCTTTTTAATGTAAAATAATCAGTAAATACACAAAATCCAGAAACGGGACCCTCTGCACATCCAGTACTCATACTTGTGTCCTAAATATTTTTATTGTGTGTTTATCTTCATTAAATTTAAGTTGCATTAATCATACACTGCCTGCCACACACCGCCACCAAAAAAAAAGGTCACACACTCTGATATTTCATTGGAGCGCCTTCAGCTTTGATTACTTCACGCATTCGCTGTGGCATTGTTCCCATAAGCTTCTGCAACGTCACAAGATTTATTTCTGTCCAGTGTTGCATTCATTTTTCACCGACATCTTGTACTGATGATTTGGAGAGTCCAGGCCAATCCAGGTGTGAAAAAGACGTCTCATGCACCCTGAACCACTCCACCACAGTTTGAGCCCGATGAATCCTGATGAATCATCTTTTGGATTATGCCCGTGCCATCAGGGAAGAAACAAATCCATTGATGGAATAACCTGGTCATTCAGTATATTCAGGTAGTCCCCAGATCACAGCACTGCCCTCCACAGGCTTGTACAGTAGGCATGATGGGTGCATCACTTCATCTGCCTCTCTTCTTACCCTGATCACTCTGGAACAGGGGAAATCTTCCTTCCAGTTTTTAATAATGCGTTGGACAGTTCTCAACCTAACTTTAGTAGTTTCTACAATCTCCTCAGATGTTTTCTCTGCTTGATGCATGAGACTGATTTGACCCTCCTCAAACAGACTTAACATCCACGACCACAGGATGGGTCTTTCAACACCGTAGTTTAAGAAGTGAGAAGCTACTCATTGCATCAGTTGGGGTTAAATAAGTTGTTACCAGCTGAAAGATAATCGCCCATGCAGTTATTATTATCCAATGGGAGGCTCTTACCTATTTGCTTAGTTAAATCCAGGTGGTGACTTTGTTTTTTGGACAGGCAGTGTACTGGAGCTTGTCTTTCTACAATGTTTACTATTTAGTTCCGATGTGAAACGACCAAAGCGCTTCCCTTCAGAGAGAGAGCAACTTAAAAAGTCGGGCAAAGATACAATTTCTAACCTCGGTCCTATAATCAACGTTAAAGATTCACTTTGTAAAACATTTAAAAAAAAACAAATGAAAAACATCCAGTATGAGGTAACAGACTGAAAAACACATAAAAAATTCATGTTTAAACAAAAATCAATGAAAAGATACTAAAACATGTTATTAACATGTTATTGTTATTAACATGTTATTAACATATTATTAACAGGTTAATAATATGTTATAACACCTTCAAAAACCCGAAAAAAAATATCATAAAACATTTAATACGTGTTGTATTAAATGTTATGAGAGCACTGCCTTCATAATCTAATTTATAATTTGTTTTCTTAATGTTTACATTCTTCTTAAGTAGCATTGAGCTAGGCTAACTTTAGCTAACGTCAGCCTGAAAATCGACATTTTCTCTCCACATCTCCACAACAAACGCACCTCGTCCAGGTCCACGTAAGGTCCGGCTCCTTCAGGAAACATCTCGTCCACTGCAGGTTTCATTTTGTTGTTTCGGTTCGACAGTAATTAACTTACAAAAATGTTGTTTGGGAGTCACTGAAATAGATCGCTCACATAAACAAAACAACGGTGTCACACTTAAATGGGCCCGGCGGCTAACTCTTGAACTGAAAGGTTCCGTTCTTCTTCTTCTTCTTCTGCGGGGGATTATAAAAGGCGGTTGGTATCCAAAATATTGCATCACCGCTTTCTACTGGTTTCAAATAAATGTACAATATTCTGACTACTATGAACTTGTGAAAGAACAAAAATAGCTTTCTTTATCTTTATAGCCAAAATTCCGCCCAAAACTATAAAAGCATGTAGGCTGTTTCAAATACAGCATTTGTCTAACTATATTTTCAGTTTTAAGGTTTAATTAACCCAGAAACAGCTCTCTTACCAACACTATACAATCTGTAGATATCAAATATAGTATCATAAATATAGTGTAGCAAATTGTATATAGATCGTTTGTATATATAGAGAGATTATAAGGATCACAGGAAGTTAATTTAATGTAATAAATATTAATTATTGAGCTGTGGAAAAGGGGTAGGGTTAAATAAGTTTTATACTTTTTTTATACAGGCATATCAATTGAATATATGTAATTTTATTTTTATTTTTATTTTTTTGTGAAATAATTTGAACATTGTTTATTGTATTTTCGTGCTTTTCATTTTGTTTTGTATTTTTGATATGTTTGATTTTATTTTGATATGTCTGAAATGAATGTAATCAATCAATCAAAAACTATAAATTCAAGAAAAATACACAATACAGTATGACGTGCTTGAGAATAATCATTTAATAATAATCATTTTATTATAATAATAAAAAAAGGAGAACCATATCCTTTTAAAGACATTGCTTAAGTTGGCACATGCTTATTCATTCATGGCATATAGCATTATGATATTGTACAATTCCTCAAAGGGGCTACATCTGTTCTCTCTATATGTGGCTAGCCTACAAACAGTATACACTTGACACTCTATGCCTTAACTTCTTTCATTTAACGTCTGTTAAAATGTCCTCAACTCTTATTTAAATTGTGTACGGTATTAAAAGAACAAATTCTGAACAGCCGCCTTGCTGCTCTCTTCCTGCTCATCTCTCAGTGCTCATGTCCCGCGTTGCTCTCATACCCCAGGGTGTCCCCGAGGTGCTGGTGGGCAAAGAAGGCCCGGGCCAACTCGTTGATGTGGTTATAGGCACCGATGGTTCTGAAGTATTCAACGTAGTTCCAGAAGTCAGAGGTGGAGTAAGGCCAGTAAGGGACAGCTGGAGGTTCATCATAAGGCACTAAAGATGGGCAGGACACAACCGTTACCATGGTGATGTGGTCACACTTTGTGTTCATGTATACACTATATATCAGTAGAGTAGAGTAGGTATTAAACATTTTAATATGCAAAGTAACTAAAGCTCTCAGACAAATCTATAAATAGTAAAATATTTTCCTTTAGTATGCAGACGAGTGGAATTTAAAGAAAAGACTACATTCACAACTTTTCTTATATTTCAAGATTAAAATCAAAAGAAATATAGCAGAGAAGGAAGTGAAAGAAAGAGAAATCTGACACTTTTATATGGAATATATTGTGTCAAAATATGTATGCATCTTAAAAAAAGAGATGTTATTTATTTACTGTACCTCCTTCTGGGATGACTCTGGCCTCTGTGAGGAGGAGGAAGGAGAAAAAAAAAAATTAACATTCCCAAACATTCCTGGGCTTTCCGAACACAAAGACGGGATTCAAGATCGGAAAACTGAGCTCTCTGCCAGAGGACTTCAGGATACCCTCCTCAAATATTATTTTTGACCAATCCACACACACACACACACACACACACACACACACACACACACACACACTTGGACAGAGAGCTCTTTGTGCACATGCAGTCACTAACAACAAATGATGTCCTTTAAATGTGACAAATCACATCGAGGAGAATCATTCATGACTAAAAAACAGATACAAGTATTAAAGCATGCATATACAGATTATGTAATACTTCAGTACTGCATTTCTTTACCATAAAAATGAACTTAACTTGTCTTTAAAAGAACATGTATTCTGTATAAAAACTCACCACTATGATGAACTGCAAAAAGGCAGAGGAGAACACCGAGCAAGACCAACAGCTTCATCTTTCCTCCTACAAGAACAACAAAGCCCACAATGCTTCAGGTTTCAATCCAATAAGCACAGTCACAGTACGTTCATGCAATATGTCATAGACATACAATTCTTCAAATCTGTATTTGTCTAGCTATTAAAGAAATTGTTTGTTGAAAGAAATTTTTTTTTTGTACCTGTGAATGGTTTTTGTGAAGCCCTGCAGAGACGCTCTCCCTCCTGGTTCACTGTGACCTGTGGTGTGAGGCTCAGTGTGGAAGAGCCGACAGACCTACACACACACACCAAATGCAAACACACACTCATGCACACACACGCACACACACACCAAATGCAAACACACACACACAAACACACAGCTCACTGTGCAGATTACACCGTTACCAGAGAAATTCTTCCATGATTTTTCCAGCTGGCAAAAATGTGTTTGTGTGTTTTATTTCTGTTTTTATTGTGGATGCAGATTCAGTTATTCCCCTCGGTTGCTTTAATTTATATATTTGCCTCGAATATTTGTTAGTTTTCTTTTAAAAAACTCAATTTCAGAAAGGGGGTCAGTGAAATACTTCAACCAACAATCTGTCCTCCACCTCATTAAGGAGCGCTACTAATGATTGTTTTCATTACGTAAGACTTAGTGGGAGGATTCTTTTTGATGAATAGATTTCTGTTGTTTGTAAAAGATAATAAAATGTGTTGATAAGATTGAAAGATCATCATAGATATCAAAATCCTGAAGTGATACCTTTACATTTCTCCTTTAATCACCCTTTTCATTGTTACTAGTGAGCTATTGATTGAGCTGTAAATACTGTGAAATGAACACCAAAGGATTTTCTTTTGCAAGAAAGAAACCTTTATTCAGTGATCAAAGCTTGGACGTCAAATTACAATATTCCTCTCCTACAATGGAATGGCAATAAAACGTGAATGAAAAGTACACCACAAGTACCTCAAGTATGTAGAAGAATGTAGTAAATTTATTTTACATGATTAATGTAACATCACCTTAAAGACAATCAAAGTACAATAACTTTATGTAACTTCACTGCTGATGAACCCAAAGAATGTCCTTCATCTGTAACCCACTAATCATTCAATTTTTGCAAAACAAAGTAGAATTGGTAATTGAATAATATAATGAGTTCATTTAAATTATTGGTTATTATTGGTTATATTTAATGCAAATTGTATTTTAAGCAACATTTCTGCATCTTTAAATACAAAATATAGTCAACACCTGAACCTCTACCTAAGAATGAGCACAGTAATGTTTATATCAGGAGGATTTGAGATACAGTCTTGTTGAACCAGTGTTCAGACCAGACTTCTCTTACTGGTTTAGGGCACTAACGGGAAACTCTTCATTTATTTCTAGTTGTCTTTGCAGCCGGTCTGATCCGTTGGCTTCATCCTGAAAATATCGATTCCTTCCTTCACCAGCAGTTGTTTGGCATGCTCAACGGTGCCAAAAGGTATGAAACGTGAGCGTCCGAGGATCCAGGCGAAGTCGATGTGGAAAATACGGAGGAAGTCTGTGCAGGAATACACGACGGCCACAGTGGAGTAGTCGGTGGAGAGAATCCAGTACGGGCTGTAGGGAGTGACTACGAGCAGAGGGAGCAGACATGAAAGAGAAAGATGTTTAATATTATACAATACATTCAATTTCTGAAGTGTAGCTTTTATTTAATAGCTGGAGAATCATAATTCATATAATCACTTAAACATGACCTTGTTCATCTTTAGTGAGACTTAAAAAGCACTTTGACCATGTAATGCTGCGTACATGGAGTAAAAACAACTGACTAGAGTTGTCTCTTGGAGATATAACAATAACTGATTATAGTAATTTTTTTATTATTAATATTTAAGTCAGGGATGGGCAACTTTGGTCACAGCAAGGGCCACATTCATTCAATTCTCACTGCCAGAGGGCCAAATTGTAGAATACAAAAATGATTACAGTCGATTATGTCTCCAATTTAACTCGACACATACCAGGGATCAAATATTATTATGGACATATTTCTGGTTTTCATGATTTAATGGCAGATTTTGTCATGTTTTCTTCATGTTTCCAATTAATTGATATGTAAAAATTGAGCTGAGGGCCACGTTGAGGGTTGATGGGGGCCGCATGTGGCCCCCGGGCCACCAGTTGCCCCCCCTGATTTAAGTACAGATGGCTAGTAATCAGAACCAAGCATGAAGTCAAGATGTTTAATGAAAAAAGCCCCCGAAAGGTTCTGCTTGAGGCCCTTAGAGGTCGGACTTGAACCTGTTGCTTTAACAGATGTGTCAGTGATGTAATGCTCATGTTGGCTAAAACGGGACGTAAACATCTACTGATAACTAAGATGTCCAAAATAGATGATTCACAGACAAACAAACAGGCTTATTGTCACTATGATAACAAATGCACTGAGGCTGTGGCGCCATATGTCTGCTGATATATCATCACTCCAAAGGTATGTGTGCACAAATAAGCTCGGGGATGAGGGAACAGTCTGCTTTAAAAGTTATTTTTGTTCTTTGTCCATTGAAAGACTTCATAAATATAAGAACAATATTCAAACCTTTCGACTCGTCTCTTAAGGATGAAGATGAGGACTTACAATACGAGAAGCTGACTCCAAGCTGTGCTTGTTCTCTCGGGTCTGGAATCACTGCGGTCCCTTCTGCTACCCTCGTCTTCTCTTTACTGAGACACAGACAGAAATAAAAGATGACATTTTGATGGGAATTGCAGCTTTTTTTCCCCATGTTATCTCTTAATAAGTCTGTTGAACAAGAATTACATAAACTTATAGTTTCACACTCTGGTTTTTGTACTCTTTAGGATATGAACACTTCAATATATTCTGATGGAGGTTTCATATTGACCTTTTTAAAAAAATACAACTGGCTGAATATTAAAAACAACAAAACAAACTTTTCAATACTCACTAGAACTGAGTGTTGCGCACTTGAATGGTGCCATCTTGCCTCACAGCGTAGTTCGCCTCGATGCACTTTCCTCTCTCAAAGGAAGCAGGCAGCTTCTCGATCTCGTACCAGCGTCCGAGATACTAAAAACAAACAAGGCTCGATTAGTTCTGTGTAGTGCAGAGTGGACCTGAATGACTGTTTTTACTTGTGCTTGTTTACCAATTGAATGTTGAAGCCGGGCTGGACTTTAGGAACAGGACAGGCCCCCCAGTGAAGGGTCTGCGCTGACACCAGAGGGAGTAGCAGGAGGAGAAAGTAGACGGCTGACATGGTTCCTTCAGGAGAGGAGGGAAGAAGATAAGATGTTGATGTGAAAAAAGTTTGAGAAACTGCTCTCTGGAATAGACTTTCACAATCAATCACGTCTGCTTTAGACTGCTATAAGAGGCTACCCAAAGGCAGAACGGGACAAGAATTGGAAATTAGCAATAGCTATAAACACTCTGTGCAGCACATCAGTTCCATGCTCTGTATTGAAACGTATGTATGTTAAATTTCATTTTCCCTCGTAAATAAATAAATTCAATTCAAATTCAAACTCTCCATCCCTGTCATGTGTTTTTTTATATCATTTTTTGTTTGTTCAAAGTCCTGTTTTTCCTTTTGTGTATTATTTTTTATTACCGTTTTTTCTGTCTGGTTAATTCAGGGATTAAAATCCATAAAAACATTTTCCCAAAAATGCTCTATGCCTCAGTTTAAGGGTTATCAATCAATCAATCAATCAATTTGTATTTGTACAGCGTCAACTCATAACAAGTGTTATCTCGAGACACTTGGTGTCAGGTGGTTAGTGACTGAGATTTCCAGATAGATACATGCAGTAATATGATGTACTGTATGTGCACAGAGAGAGAGAGAGAGAGAGAGAGGAGCTCAAGGTGCCAGTTCCCCCGGTAGTCTAGTATTATATACTACATTCAATTTGGTTATAAGAGACATCATTTCTTGTAATGTTGTCCACGTTACCTTTCTGTTTCCATTCTTTAAAGTTCACTGAAACTTCAAATACAACCAACAGAGTGTAATCTATACCACATACTGAAAATACTGGAAAATGGTGACGCTGCCAACAAATAAAAGATGTATTTATTTGAATGTTGTCTGAAGCCGACTCATTACAGTACAGCTTTAAGTGTTAGGTGTGTGAATAGGCCTGAGTGTGTTGGACTCACTGAACCTCAGATTTGTGTGAGCTTTTGTTTTCAGTAACTTTTGACTCAAGTCGGTATGATGGAAGATATTTGTCAAACCTGTACTGTTAACATTTCAGCTTCTATTGTTCCCTATAGAAAGTTCATGGTATGGTGAAATAAGATAGGAGTACAAAAATCTCTCTCTCTCTCTCTGAGTGAGCAGCTCACGTGCAGCTCAGGTGTTTGTCCCTTCATGTCTTTTGTCTCTTTTTACACAAATGTCACCACACCTGTTCCTCGGGTTTCACATAACAACTGTTAATGCATGCAAGCTGAATCTTTTCAGAAGGAGGTAACAAGAATGCACCAAACTCAGAAACCACAGGTTTGATCACCTTACCATCGAAAAATAAAAACATGACCTGACCCAAAAGCTTTTGATAACAAGGCAATACAACGGCTTCAACAAAGGCAAATGTGTGAACACTGAGTTACATGTTTTATTTTATAGCACAGCTTATTTAACTCCTCTTTTTCTTTATTGCTGTTCTTAGTCGTTATGTTGATCATTGTCATCAACCTGCCAATGTCTGCTTCACTGTTGTATCATGTGTTTTATTTCCTAAAAGCCTAACCAGGGACACACACTGCAAATTAATCATGCCTAGAAGTCCTATACAATGCACTGGTTGCATTTTATTTTAATTTTTATAAACATATTTTTAATGAATTTCATGTATGCATGTAACAAAAGTATGACATAAAACAACCCTCCCAAAATAGAACATGTGGCAGTACATCAATAACACAAGAATAATAAAAGTAATTTGTACAATACAAATGAAAAAATAAATAAGTTAAATAATAAACATGAACAGTCACATTTGACACATACTCGCACTAGTGACAGTTCACAGTCATGCTCTCAGTACATTGTCCAAGTCAACATTTTTAACAAAAAAACCTCTCAAATTTTACCAAATTCTGAAGCTTTCTTCCTAACTATATAAGTTTTTCAAGAGCCAGACTTGCTGATAATTCTTTAAACCAACGTCCACTGGTTGAATGTTAATTAGATGTAACACTGCCTGTTTGTAGAGTCCCTGACAAATAAACTGATAAATAACATACATAAAACTATTATATCTAATCACTTATCTAATGTCAAGAGGTTTAAGTGATGCAATAGAATATCATAAATTAATTCAGTAAAATGATAAAATAAAGTGCAAAACCAGTTATACACGGGAAGATCACAGAGTGGTGAAAAGTTAATTTCTGTATCAACATTAAATTCATGAAAACGTTCTTACCTGAGGTATAAAGGTGTTAACTCCGTCCCTCCTGTTTCTGCTGATGATGTAAACTGTCTCGAGCTCTCTTTACAAAACACACTCTGGGAGTGTTCACGTTCACGTGACGTCACCGCGGCAGCACGAGGCAGCTCGTTAACTGAATTGTCTACACGCGCACATTCCCGCACTGTGACAATGCAGCTCACTGTGATAATGGTTGAATATTTTAATCCGTTTTTTTTTCCCCACAGCACCTTTCTCCTAAAGCACAATCTTTTTATATTCATCCTTCATGTTTGATTTTCGAAAGAACTAAATATTTTATAAATAAACATTCATTAATTTATTTCGATATACTGATTCATAATTTCAGCAAAATTAACAACTTATATATTTACTGATTTCAAATGTGTTTGTCGGTCTTGAATTATTATTTTTCCCTCAAACATTTCGTTACATATGTGTATATATATTTATATATTTATTTTATATTTTCTTATTTAGGGTACTTGTTCAATGTATTTATATTTTATTCTCCCATGCAAACTGTAGTTGGGGTATTTTGTTTTATCATTTTAATTAAAGATTGATAAATAAATAGGATTTATTATAACCATTAACATTATTATTGCTCTTATTCTTATTTGTTTATTAATGGTTATAAAATGTACCTGTTCAATCAACTTCTTTTCTGGGCTGTTTGCTGGCACGGTTTTCTTGTCCCCGTCGTACATCAATGTGTGATACTTAATGTAACCACTAGGTGTGACCAAAGTAAAATAAGAATAAAATCAAATCTAAACATTCAGCACATTTTATATTGTAAATTAATGCTTTAAATCATGGTCTGCAGACTTTGAGCCAATCTCTGATAACTGGTTAATATTTCATCCTCTTAACACTAAAGAGGAAACAGTTAAAATACTTCTGAAGTTATTTTTCACATTATTAGTAAGACATATATTGAAAGGTTTGTTTTTCAAGGATCCATAGACATACGTCTGAAGAAGCAATGCAGATATGTAAATGTATACAAATAATATCGTTCAATATCTCCACCTCAAGGCTCAAAGTTAAACAGAAAGTAAATCATCTTTACATCAGCACAGTGAAATGATGCTGTTGTCATATTGTAGACAGGTGAACTCAATGTAACATCGTCAGTGATAATAGAAAGACTGAATGGAAAGAATAAGAATACATCTCTGTGTATTTAGGTAAAAAGTAAGCAAATAAGTCTTTAATCATTTCCAAATGTTTCTGTGATATAAAACAATGACACCAAAGAGACACAAGGATCTAATAAAGATGATTTATTTCCAGTGTTTGTTGAGGGAGGGCGAGATGTTCACTGTTCAGAAAAACGTCATCTCATGCAGTTTCAAAGATTTCAAAGTCTGTCGTCGCTTTCTCCCAGGTTTTGTTTTAGCGCCCATGCATTTGACTGCACTTGGAAACATACAGAGAGGAGAAAGTAAAACTACGAAAAAAAAAAACATGGACGTACATTTGAACACTTTGATGTTGCTGTGAGTTTGACTAAAAACAGAAAAAAAACAGAAAAAAAAGGAAAATCTCTGGAATGCCTGTGAGTTTTTTTTTTTTTTTTTTAGACCACCGTAAATGTTTTAAAAATTCTTCTTGTCTTCACAACTGTTGGTAAAAACAGTTTAAAAAAGAAAAAAAGAGGCACTTTTTGAGATAAAAACAATTCACACACATGTAAAACTTATTTTTGAAGTATAACTGGACAAAGTTCAGAAATTAAAAGCACTGTACCAAGCATTACATACTCTAGTATCAGCATTTCATGACTGTTTTTTTTTCAGTCTTTATTTGATAAAACTATCATAATCCTCCGGTCCTTCCAGCTAATATCTGGCTGATTTGAGTGTGCTGTGAAAAAAAACCAAAAAAAAAAACCTTCCCACAGCACGCAGCTCAGAAAGCAGCCCTCAGTTACATCCACACGCTTCAAGTACAGGCAAATCAAAAACATACATGTCGTCTTGAAAATGACAAAAAAATATTGTCATGAGCAACTAGTGTTAGTCCAAAGAGAGATTACATTCTTCATAATGCTTATAAGAGGAAGAACTGAAGCATCATTCCTTAAAAAATAGGCTTCCCTATGCTTTCTTCAGTAATAGTCGAGTTGAATCTTTTTCATTAGTGCTGAGTAACAAGAGTCCACATGAAATGTCTTTTTGCATTTTTGCAGGAGGAAGTCTTGAGTTTTTTGTTTTTTTTCCATCGTCTGTTCCAGTATGGCCGACAATTCAGAGGAATCACACACATAAAACATCTCTGTAGAATTATTCCAGTAACAATCAAAGAAGCCTATACACAGTATGTACAGTAGATACATAAAGTATACTTTGTAGAAAAAATATTGTGCAGTAACCTCGGCTAAAATACACACATTCGTACATTTAACGCATTCATCCTCCAGATAAAACCACTGTTTCACTTTCACAGATACTGGTAGAACCGCGAGCGGACCACTTGAGCTCCAGACAGTTTGTGTGGGTGAGCGTCCGGCGTCAGGTTGGTTTTGTTTTTGCCTTGCAGCCCGCCGCCGTTGACCTGCTCCCCTGTGAGCGGCTGAGCGCCCGGAGACGCAGAGGGGGGCGGTCTTTCTTCCGCTCTGTCGCGTGCGTCCGGATGGTCGTCCTCGGGGACGGCTCTCGGTGCGACCTCGCCGCTTGAATCCGAGCCTCTGTGGCGATCCCTGGAGATCCAGCCTCTGATGGAGAAGTCCTGAGAGGAACATCTGGGCTTGAGGCGATCCTGAGGCGACAGCTCGGCCGCCTGGTCCACGCCGCCTTGCTCTCTCCAGTCGTTGATGACCGCCAGCTCTGCGAAGTCCCTCTGCCCTCCCATGGTGTGCCGCCGTCGGATGTTCTTCTTCTTCGCTCGGGCTTCTTGAGTCCGGGTCTTCTGCGCGAACATGTCGTCGGCTGATGTCCGGATCCTGAACTTTAGTCGCTCGGTGATCTTAAGGTGCCAGGCCGGTTCGGGACGCTCTGATTCGCTGCGTGAGGACGAGCTAAGGCTGCTTGTGGACCGCCCTTTTTTCATCACCTCCAGGACTCTTGAGAGCCGCGTGGAAGACTCTGCTCTTCCCTCGCTGCGCTCTGTACTCCCAGACACGCCCTCTACTGATGATTCACTGTCTGTTTTCTGCCTCAGGGACCACCGTCTGGAGAGGGTGTCACACTCGATCATTCTGTGCGACGGGAAGAGGCGCCGTGCTTCCATTTTTGGTGTGGCGCTCCCCTCAGCTGATCCTCTTGGTTCAGTTTTCTCCATACTCTGATCCGGGCAGGGCGTAGACTGACTGCTGCCTCCACCGGGCGCAAAAACAGGGAAGTCGCTCTCACTGTCTGTCTCCATGGGTCGTCCCTCGCTTATCAGCTCACTGCGTTCATCGTCCGCCTCCTCCCCTCCTTGCAGCTCCGGGCTGAGAGCGCTGGACTCCGCTCCGGTGAGGAAAGTGATGGAGGATGTTGTGGAGTAGTCTGAGGTGATGGAGCTCACCTCTGCACCTGCAGACGCTCCTGGGCCTGCAGCAGATCCGATCGCGGCAATCGCTCCTGCAGGAAGCTCGAGGGACGTTCCTGCTGTCCACTTTTTGGGTCTCGACCTCGGGACGGACGCTCCGGAGCTCATGGTGCCGAGGTCTGAGGTGTTCTCATCCAGCAGGGAGGGGGGATCTGACAGAGAGGACTTCCCCTGAGGAGCTGCTTGGTAGCTGGAGATGATCGGGGACGGGGAGGGCGAGGGTGAAGGGTGCCTGGGTGGAGTTTTATCCTTCAGGAATAAAGAGTTCCTATGCTCTCTCTTGGCTTTAGGTGTGAGCTCCACAGTCCTCCCATTCTCCTTCCTCTCCTCTGCTCGCGCCGGCTGCTTGGCGTTGGGTTTTGCGTTGGGGCTCAATCGAGTCTCGCTCTGCGCCTCAGTCTGGAGGCCGTGGTGGTTCGGCTTCTGAACGGGGATTTCCTTCTTGGGGAACACGGCGTCCAGATCGTCGTCTGAGCTGCTAGGCAGCGGCTTCTCCTTTGACTTCTTTCTTTTGCGGCTGGCTGCAGCAAAGATGGAGGAGACCAGGAGCTCGCGGCTGCACTGGTCCTTCCCTGAGCCCCAGGAACCCTGCAGAGAGAGGAGAGAGAGGAGGAAGAAAGAGAGAGGAGGAGGATGCTGAAGTGAGTATTTCTGACGCAGAGACACAAAGAAAGGGCACAGAGAGAACACAAACCCTTCACCCCCTGTCTGGAACTTAAACCTGTTCTCCACCTGCTCCCGTGAAGCGCCACAAACCAGAGAAGTGGACAGAGAGAGGAACATTAACAGACAACATTAACAGGGAGCACATCAGTGTTTCCATGCCGACCTTAAAGCAGAAGCAGGACGAGCAGCAGAATGACTTCAAGCTGAAGGAAAGCAGCCACATAGGAGCAGTGCAGTGATGGAAAGCACCCGCTTACGCTGATGACCCCATCGCAATTATGTTTCTCTCATTACGAGCAGCTGAATCAGCCTGAGCTTTACAGAACAACATTAAGGACCCTGAATGTGTCACTGAGCAGGAATCTTAAAGTTGAGTGACTCCAGCTCATTGGATGTACAGACGGCTTTGTCTCCTCAGTGCTGACAGACTTTACATTACGTTAACTTAAAGGGTTGGTTCACCCAAATTACAGAAAAATATATTTGTATGTCCTTCTCAGTTTATCAAATGGTACCAAGCCATGCAGATTGTTATGGTTTTATTTATCTCTGTATCGAGGTCAGATAACTGAGATGTCCCCCTGATACTTTGGATTTAAATTAAGTATGATTTGTTGTCAAGCAGCCAAAAGGTTTGACATCCTGGTTACTCTGGATTATCAGCAGAACATGCTGTTTACAGTTTTCATTTTGACCATTTCTGCAGGAGAAAGTAGTGCCAAAAGAAAGTTGTAGTGTATGATATTAAACATGGAGTATTTTAAACTTCTGCTGAGTGGTTCATGTAGAGAGAATGCAGTTTGTACGCGGCACTGATTACGGAAAACAGAAAAAAAGACGATTGAAATATCACAACACTTAATATATTCTGTTGGTCAGAGTATCTGAACTCGTGCCTACAAAGATGTGGTTTGTAGCTGCACTATCTCTGGGAATTAGACTGAAAATGTTTCAAAGCTCATCTCATGACTGTGGGATTTTGAGCTATTACAAACACGGCTCTTTTCATTTTTATTGTTGCACTACAAACTGATTTCTACTCTGCTGTACTTGGATTAATGCAGAACATGGGATAACCTAATGTAAGCAAATCTGCACAGCTAGAAACACCACAGGCAATTAGTTTGTTTTTTGTTTTGGGTGAAACAACCCTACAAGGAAGAATTACGATTAGTTAATTTAATGCTGTTTTTTATGGGTGCGGAGGAAATCTCTCCAGCTCGTAACCTACCTCCTGTCATCCTACACTAGCAGCCTGAGAGGTTTCAACACTGGACACAAAACACTCACCTTTGATTTAGCTGAGTCACTGGTTGGTGAATCTGCGGGTAAAAGAAGAAAAACAGGAGAATTAGCTGGCGTGGAAAACACAGAAAAACACATCTCTGAGGTGCAACACAGGAAGATGAATCAGGGAGAGAAAAGGAAAAAGAACCGTGTTGATGAGGAGGAGCGTGTGGAGTGAAAACACAGAACAGAGTGATGAAGAGTGAGCGCAGACATGAGCAGACGACAGGACATGCTTCACACACGGACAGATGAGCTCTATGTTACACTCAGGTCCACGACGTCTACCTTTCAAACCCATGACAAACATGAGCAGAGTCAAGTTCCCCCCCCACCCGAGTGATTCTGAGTGCAACTTCAGCAACAAACACAACGAGAACACTGAACAGCAGCCCAACAGTGAGGCAGAGAAAGTGCCATGCAACACATTGATGGTGTTTGATTTGATGAAGGTAAAGAAACATCCAGGTATGCAGACATGGACCCTAGTGTATTATTAAGAGCATTTGAAACAGAAAGGCTTTGTGTTGTTTTTAAAGGGACATTTATGAACTGTTAAATGTGGTCTCAACCTGTGCTTCCATTTACTTTAAGTTTGAAGAAATATCAACTTCCAGCCTGTTGTCTATATTGTCTTGTGATAACTGCATCCAGCTTCAAATGGAACTTAAGTCAATCCATTTTTATTTCTTTGTTATTCTAAGGTTAAGATGCCCAGAGTTTTTTTCAACATCAGGGTTGCAATAGCATGGGATCATTAGGTTACAATAACCGTCCAAGAAAATGTATTTTTAGAGATAGGACAGTGGATAGAGTCAGACATTGGGGAGAGAGAGAGTGTGGGGAACAAAATGCTGGAAGTTGGATTTGAACCCGGGCCGCACACTTGGAGGACTATAGCCTCGGTACATGCAGCGCGCACACTAACCACTAGGCTACTGACGCCCCAGACTACAATGTCTTAGTAAGAAAACTTTAAAATGTAAACTCCGCTGATACAAGCAAATGTACTAAGAATAATTTTGTTCATTTTCATATTGCTGCAACCATATTATCAAGAAATCCTTCAGTAGAATGAAATCTGTGATACCAAGTCAGCTGATGTGTGGTTTCATGGTCATAAAATGATCCTATCTAAGAACGAGTTTGCCGTCTCAGACTTCTAAATCGAAAATAACTGGCATCGGGTGAACCTGTCCAGTATTTTAGAAAAGAAAAAAAAGCAGCTTGTACAGGAGTGAACTTTTGGGTTAGGGTTAGCGATGAAAGTTATTCATCGCTTTTTATGATCTCGCAAACCATTCATTTCGATTTGAGCCCCAGCAGGTCGAGATCCACTGGTTTGAACCTTAAAAAAAAACCTCCTGGTGTAATAGTAACCACATTATAATGAAGATCTGGAACTAGATGATCAGAGGTTGTGTGATGTGATCATGTGTCACTCCAGACCAAACAGTATGTGAGTGTGACACCTGAAGCCGGCCTGCACACAGCTCTTTGCTCCCTAATTGTGATGCTGTTTGACAAAGTGATGAGACGTGATGAGGGCTGCCATGACAACAGTGACACAGTGATGACTATGGAAGAAACCAAACAGAATATAAGTGAAGTGACAGGGGGGTCACAGAGGGGCTAGCTATATGAGAAGAGGGGACACTACATGAGAGAGAGAGAGAGAGAGTGTCGGCAAGGAAATCCTATAATCAGTCCTCACCTGCTCTGAAATCACATCTATTCATGTCGTCCTTCATTTCCAGCTAAAATTTGCTCTTGTTTGTTTGTGTGACATAGCCGAGCCCCCCTATACACCCCTTTGCAATCACATGATGGCACGATATGCAGGTGCACAGTGACTGGAGACGTAGAAACCATACCATGCTATCTCTCCTGTTGGCAAGCTTGCAGGACAGTGAGGAGAGACAGCGGAGAGCCTTTCAGACAGTAGCACCGGCCTGTGTTAGGTAAACTCTGATACAACACCGGACACTGTACAGTACCGTGTAGCCGCTTCGCTTCCCCACTTCTCCGTCACGGTTTCTGTTTCTTTTTTTTTTTTTCTCTTTGGCTTTTCTCGCTCTCAAAAGAACTGCGGGTTCCTGCAGACTAGGCAGCTACACTGCGGGCAACAATCCTCCTTCTTCCTACAGTTCCAGCTGTCCATCACGGACACTACAGAGTCCATCAGTGTCATCATGGTGTGATAGACTCCGCCCACTTGGCCTGTGTCAAGATCAGTATGTGTGAATTGCTGGGAAAGCCTTTAGGACACCCGACAGAGCCTCACTAGAGACAGAGGAATCAGAGGTCGCCTTTCACTGTAAAAACATCTATTGGTGACGAGGGAAACAACATGCCGTATTAGTGCAACAGTAGGCGGGGAAAAAAGGGGGAGTTGGACGAGGCAAACGAGAAATTAAAGGGCAGAAGGATTATTCAAAAAGAAAGAGGACTTCTTACATTTATCAGAAACCGACAGGGGGCTAATTATTTTGAAAGCAAATGAAGAAGCGTAACAATTTATTGCATTGAGATGCAGATAAATTGCCCACTGAAACCCGCACAGGCGCTTGGACTCGTGGTTGGCCATAGACATTTCTATCTAGTGGCACCACACAAAGAAGCAGAAGGGGAAGCTTAGCCTGAGGGAAGAAGCAGCGTTATCATCAACATCTGTTACTAGTTCACACACACACACACAGGTCCCGGTTAGAGTGCAGCAGAAAGAGGGTAGAGAAAGGTAAAAACCCACCAAAGAGTTGGTCTGCCAAAGGCAGCACGTTACCTGATACTTCACCCTGCGACGTGCCCGTACGGCCGATGTTAGTGAGCAGGTGGTCTATGTTGGGGACGGGCTGCGACTCCACCGCGCTCTCATCATGCGACGCAGTCTGTAGGGAGCGATTGTGACACAGTGAGGAGCAGATTCACAAAGACATTTAAGAGTAACATGCCGTCAAAAGCAAACAAATGACAGCTGTTTTTTAATGCTTTGAAAAATGTGACATTAAAATGTAAGAAAACATTTAACAGCAGTGCTGCCTGTACTCACCACTGGATCTCTGTCTCCATCTTCAGTGAAGAACCAGTCGTACTAGAGGGAGAAAAACATTCAAATGTAAGTCTCTGTGTTTGAATCTGATGTTTAGTGAAGGATCCTTAATATGAGTTAAAGATCTGCTGCTCACATTTTGGATTAGGGCCTCAACTATCCTGTACTGATCCGGCATGTGTGTCACCATGTGGGTCATGTTGTCCTCTGTGGTTCGCACCAGCGTCGGACCAAACACGATGGCCAGATTCCTCGGCTCCATCTAACAAACAGAAACAAAACATCACAGTTTTAATGATACACTGAAAGTCCTCTGATGAAAACTAAAGGCTTAGATAATTGACATTTTCTGAGGCACACACCTTATTCTTCTCCGAGTTATCAGCCACAGTTTTCAAATGGCATGAGAGAAACTTCAGAGTCTCATAATGATGATCCGGCAACTCATGAAGCTGGAAGTACAAAGAAAAAAGAAAAAGAGACAAATGTGAATGTTATTTCTTTATTTTTCTTTGCTGCATTCATGCTTTTTCGATTCTTATCGTGTTTATCAAAGAGGTTTCATTTAGTTTGCGCTTCAGAGGCCTTATCTCTCCTGACCTTTAATCAAACTAGTTGTAGCAATAATCAATCTGTCTATTTAAGATATGGCAGAAGCAACTATGACCAAAACTGTAAACTACAAATATTCTTTGTTGAATTTAAAAAGGATTTGAAGATTATACAGTGCACAACACCTGATGAGTCAAGGTAACAAAGAAAGAAAACAAAAACATGACTGTAGCTGTTTACAATGGGATGACTTGGGCATAAAGTAAATAGCTTCAAAAATAATAATAAAAAATAACTCACCATTCTCTTGAGCACTTTGAGTCTCTCCACTGGGTCCTCTGTTCTGTTGGCCTCGATAAAATCTGCGTACCTATCTGCAAAGACAAATTAAGAAAGGCTGCAGGATCAACACAGCATTTTTTTTACAGGGTTGTAATTCTCATTATTGGCCACTAGATGGCATGCACGCTGTCTAAAAATAACAACCTACCATTGGTGAATAACGGCTCTGGAAGTTTACGGAAGAAGGATTTGAGTAAACTGCTGATCACATTGAGGTCCCTCCATTTCTGCAAAACATGACATGAGAGTTTAAGTTGGTATTATGCAAAAAAAAAAAAAAAGTTAATACTTATAGACTCATATTTTTGTTACATCCACCATCAGGATGCTCCTGCTCTCTGATTGATGCAACGGTTCAACTTTCTGGAAATGCAAGTTTCTGCTTTGTCTGAAAAATCCCCAAAATATAATAATTCATGACATACATTTAAACTCTCGTTTCTGTTTGAAGTACACACATCTGCATTTGCTCCAAACACATCAAGAACAGCAGCCCTGCAGAACGCGAGACTCCACTTAAAGTTTAATTATAGCAACATGGATCGATAAAGGGACACTCACATCGTCCTGGACATCGATATCGTTCATGCCCTTGTTATTGAGCTCCTCCTGCATGTTGGAGATTGCAGCATTGTTTCCTGGGACTCTGTAGATGCCCGTGTACTCCAGCCCCCTCTCCTCCACCAGATTACAGCAGACCTCCACGATCAGAGGCACAAACTGGAATACAATAGAAATGGTTTAGTCTATGATGAAAACTGTATTTATATGTAACAGAAAAAACCTCACAAAGCATGTCTGACATCTTTAATACAGATGCAAACAACTTCAAAAGCAGATTTTCCTTTTCCTTTCTTCATGAAAACTCAAATCAGTACAGACCTTGTTTGACTGTGCAGGAGGACAGTCGTCCAGCCTCACTCCAAACGTGACTCCAGGAGACGGCTTCTTCTCAAAAGGCTTCCTCATCAGCCCCGGGATGCCCTTCCTCCACGTCCCTTTATCCTTGGGAGGGCTGGTGTCATCTGCAAGGCACAGTGCAAAAGATTCAGTAAAATGAGAGCACACAAGTCAGCCACGTTTCACACCTTCAAAGAGGGCAGCTGTCCTACTTCTCCGTGCTCTAAACTTTGCATCTGGTGTTTTTATCTGTACTACAGGTAAGCATTAATCAGAATCAATTAGAATATTTTTTAATGTCACTGTAAAGCCCTATGTCACCTTTTTATGTTTTCATTTTATCTATATTTCACAAGGAAGTCTAATTGAGATTAAAAACCTTTTACATGCGAGACCTGGCCAAACAAGCAGTACAGGCAAAGTCATATTTACAACTATGATGTTTCAAACAGAGTTTAAAGTGGAACACCTTGGGATGTTTGAGTGAAATACTTGAAATCAAATATCTATCAAGCCAAAGAATATTTACAATTAAAATGTTTCAAATATCAGAAAATCAATAGTTTTCCCTCTTGCAGACACTGTCAAAAGTTAATTTGAATTGTGTCTTTTTCTACCTTTGTGCATGTTCTTTCTCTCCTGCTCGGCTTGTTTGGGTGAGTGTGGACTTGTCGCTTTGGTCTCTCCTTTCCCTCCCAGCAGCGTCTGTCTGATGCTCAGAGACTGACGTGAGGTTCGGGGTGACGGCTCCGTCTTGCTGCCGGTCGGGCTGTTTGAGACGTAAAGCACAAAATGAGATCTCCAATCAGAGATAACCATCACAGCAGCACTGGGTTTCATGTTCCAGACGTAGGGTCCCTCCCTTTTCATTTACCTCATCAAGGTGTTGTACTCCTTGATCTTCCTGCTGATGAGGTCATGGCTGGTGAAGGCCGCGTTCTAAAAAAAGACAGAAAAAAGGAAGGAAGGAAAGAGGAGCAGAGCAGGACAGAGGACACAACAGGTTATGGTGGAGGCATCAGGTGCAGCAGCCCCCTTCCCCCGACCCTTTACACGCCATAACCGATCTTTATATAACCTGTTGCTCTCAGGTGACACAGGTAAGACCATTGGAATGTCATAGCATGGATGAATAGTAAGGTCTTAAAAAGGAGGGGAAGATGAGCTTTAAGTTCTTATGGATGGAGACTCGGCTACGATAAGAGACCATATTGTGAAATATATTTGATAAATGTTGAATGATGTTTGATGACATTTGTAATGGGTTTGGTTCTTTTGCACTGTTTTTGTTCGACTGTTGAATAGTTTGGTAAATTTGATTGAGTTTGTTTTTTTATGATTGTGTTATGGTCTTAGCTGCAGTCTGTAGTTTGTACTCTGTACTCTGGATTTATTGGTACTTGTAATTCTGGAGCAATTAAGGTTGAATCTAAAGGTCTTATTGTGAATTTGAAATGGGTAATGCTAAGCAACAGAATCGAATAAACAAAACCAAATCAGATTCAAACAACGTTTTAAGTTCCTCAACAATTCTCACTATTAATGTGCAGTTTTCTCGTGATAATGTTACAAAACGTGTTCAGAAAAGTCCAGTTAGAGGCTCCAGGGAGCCGGGTGGTTGGTTTGCACGCCGAGTGAAGGCTGAAGACTCTATCCACTGTCTTGGTCTTTCCCATTTTTAAGGATCTTGTAAATAACCAGCTTGATTAATTGCTCATAAAAGCAATCCCTAGTTAATATTTTGATGACAAGTATGCACCGAATAAAAAAGATACTTTAAAACCTCCAAGTACATTGTAAACCAATTAGAATGATGACGTGATGAAATATTTTAAGTGAATCTTTTCCTTTAGGTTTCAGGCATATTTTACTTATAAAAATAGTTTTGAAAAAATACATTCAGGCAATTTTATCTTCAGATCAGTGGCTTCTTCACCCTTACCCTGTCACCATCTATACATTATACAACAGGACTTGACTGCTATGCATCTGTTTGTAAAAGGGGTTGTATCACAATTAACTATTTTACCTCCTCATCCAGGTTGCTGTTCTCCTGTATGACTCTGATCCAGGCCAGCATGTCCTCCCGGTCCTCTGCTTGAAACAGGTACTCACAGTCGGACGTCGTCAGCCGCAGCACGTTCTTACGCTTGGTGTCGCTGTACGAGATGTCGATCAGACAGGCCTTGATGCTGATCGACACGGGCTCGTCTACTGCTTGGCAGTTGGCGTGAGCCTGCCCCTCCTTTTTGTCTTTATACAGGCAGAGGTAGTGGCCTCTCAACACGGCGTACATCTGTTTCCACGGACGCATCCCCCCTCCGACACGCTGCAGAAAGAGGTCAGGAGTAAGAGACGAGTTTAAGGTAAAATAGAAGAGATTAAACTGTAATCTTTCTGTAAATGTTGCTTTTGTTGGAATAGTTACACATAATCACTGCCTTGAGGGACATAGGGGAGACAATGTGAGACCTCAAACAAGGAGGTCAAAGACAGGTATGAGTATAAACTTGTCTTACAGGTGAGTACAGCATATACAGGTCAGACTCTGGGAACAAGGGCAGCCTTACTACTGTTTGTAAACCAACTTCTACAGTAGGTCACATCATGCACACACGCTTTCTGTGCCAGATAGTGAACTGTTTGATGTTACGTATGACGAGATGGTTCCCACCTTGCCCTTGTCTGTATTCAGCTGCTTAAAATTGTGTACAGAGACAGCAAACACACACACACACACACACACACACACACACACACACAGATCGATTCCTACTTTTTAAATCAATGATTCACTGACTAATCTTGAGCGTCACTTCTCTATATCCATAATAATTTCACATTTCACTGTGAGATGTCTTATCTTCTGGGTGTGAGCAAATAGGCTCATAAAAACCTCAGAGCAGGAAATTCAGATAAACCACTCGTGGCATGTGAGCACAGCTGGCACAGAACAAACAGAACTGTCTGATAAAATATTGTGGAATAGACTCACCTTCCTGAGACTTTTCAGACCAGGTATTAAGGACCTCCTACATTGAAGATGAAGAAATATTTTAATAATGACAGAGCTGAGAGGATTATGAGAGGAGCAAGAGCAACAGAGCATGATGAAAGTGCTAGAAAAACATTCAAAGTTTTGTGTTATGATGTAAAATCCATCGTATAAAATAGACTAAATAAGTAATTTAAACAGGTTTTCTTGGTAATGCATGTTTGTGATGACACTAGAGTCTGTATAACTTACCCTCTGCTTTCTTCCCGGTAGTTATCCAGGCCTTCATCATACGACTTGGACCGCTCAGATTTCGTACCAGAGTCTGACTCGATAATTGTGAGACGGAGAGAATCTATTAAGAAAAGGTTGAACAATTATTTAGAACTTTTATGAAACTGTACGGTCAAGTTAAGTCATCAACCCGAGGCTCAGTTTGCTGCGTCACGAACATACCTTGGTCGTGCGACAGCTGCCGTCGAATGAAAGGCGACGGCGAGGTGGGGCTGGGTGGGATGGTTGTGATGATGGGTGCTCCAGATATCACAGAACAGGCAGGTATGAGGGAGCTGTCCAGTTCAATACTGGGACTCGATGGTTCATCTGAAGACAGAAACAGGATACATGTAGATATAGAAATATAAAAATGCTTAAAACAGACTTTTAGCTTAATTAATTAAACAAATATACTTTTAGTCCTGAGACCCCTTTGACCAGCTTCTGCATCAGCAGGACACATTACATGATCAGCCAGAGACTCAAAGGCCTAATTTAATTAGCTGGCTTTATAAGCTATCACGCTAAATGCTTTAACTGATAAAATCTGACAGCAACTGTTGTCATTTTAGTGAATAAAATCTACAGTCTGGAAATAATAAGCCTGCTGTTGTCTACCTCTGTCTGGGATAAAAGACCAATTATTTAAAAAAAACACTGAACATTTGGTCAATCTGAAACCATTACCACTGCAGCTAATGTTCTGTTTTTAAAAACAGAAAGTCTGACAGGCATAGCAACAACAACTAAGGGGTCAGACAGGACACTCCTGTAAATCTTTAGCCTAAGTCCATGTGTCATCTGCAACAGGATATGTAAAAATGTAATTTAAATGAACCAAAAAACAAAGTCTTATTCATCTCTGCTATCTTCAGCTGAATAAACATTTCAGCAGCCGGCCATAAAAAGCTGTGATAGGGCTAATTGAGAGTAAGCAAAGTGATGCAGACAGAGGCGCAGTCAGTCAGTAGATCGGTGTTTCAGTTCTGATAAACTGGTACACACCTTCACTTTAAACACCCAGACGTAGGGTAGTCAGCCAACATTACATCACTACAGACGAGACAGTGTCATAACATCTGATATCAAATGTCAGCAAACCCTAAAAAGCAAATTAATAAACTTGTACAATGAACAACCAGCTTGAGAAATGAGTCATATCAACGGCTCTGCTGATGCATGAAGTCAGGTGAGATCAAAAGCAGCACTACGACCAGTATTAATAATCCCTTTAGAATAAATAAGGACCAAAGAAAAACATGTTGAACACTGAATCAAACAGTTGTGTGTTTTGATACGTACTTTGGTTAAAATTCTAACCATCCTAAATTATCCATGAACTGCAACTGTTAATTAATTAAACACCCAGACGTAGGGTAGTCAGCCAACATTACATCACTACAGACGAGACAGTGTCATAACATCTGATATCAAATGTCAGCAAACCCTAAAAAGCAAATTAATAAACTTGTACAATGAACAACCAGCTTGAGAAATGAGTCATATCAACGGCTCTGCTGATGCATGAAGTCAGGTGAGATCAAAAGCAGCACTACGACCAGTATTAATAATCCCTTTAGAATAAATAAGGACCAAAGAAAAACATGTTGAACACTGAATCAAACAGTTGTGTGTTTTGATACGTACTTTGGTTAAAATTCTAACCATCCTAAATTTATCCCATGAACTGCAACTGTTAATTAACTTTATATCCTTATAAAGAACTGGGGAAAAGCAAGATCGACATGATTAAATTCCTCCAAGTTGCAAAGCAGAGATTCAAATCTTCAACTTTCAAATGGCACAACTTAACATGAAACATCTGATCAGCTTGTTAGATGGGTACAGAGCACTGCTGTGAAATCCCCCCCCCCTCATCAAACCTCAAAGACTTCTCCCAGTACACTGCAAACCTCATTTCTGCCAACCTAGACAAGATGCCCATTTCATCTAATCACTTCCAATCCAGTTTCTGGGAAACTGGCAACAGTCAGGGATGTCTGACATGTACAATTACAATTTATTCTTCATGGGATGTCATTTATAGAAATCAAGATGGAATTGAAGTTTAACAGAAGATGCAGATCCATAAATATTCAAACAAGCAGTTATACATTTAACATTTTTTTGTTTTTTTGCTAAGAAGTAGATAACATCATCAATACTACTCACATAGTTTTCACTTGATTATGAATTCACAGTAGGAGATGGTTGTCTTAGCCTCAAAAGACTTTCCAGCAGGGCTGGGTCCGACAAATACGTTCAATACTGATTCATCTGCCAATTGCTTCCAAGATGAACAATTCATCATTTGATTTATAAAACACTGTAAAATAGTAAATGTTTGGCAAGTCCAGGGCGATGTCTTCAAATGTCAAACCCAAAATGTATTTTGTTTAATATCAGACAAAACAGAGGAATACAAACCTCCAGAGACTGAAGATAACCTTTTCTGCAGGTTTTGCATGAAAATGACTTTAAGAATTATTCAAATCAACTAATAGTCATTGCTGTGAAGTGGGACTCCAAGGGGGAATATCCATTTCCCAATAGGAAATCTGAATACCCTTTAAGAGCACAATTTGTAATTTTTCAATGTATGAACAAACATGATAATTACATTCAAGAGCTTGTTGTGTGTTTTTTTAATATCCTTGGACAGAGTAGGTTAGGCTATTTCACATTGCTTCCAGTTTTCCGTCTAGCGAAAGAGTGATATCAATCTTCAAACCCTGAAAATGTAACCAAAATGTCAACCTACAATTTTAAGTTCTGTCAAACTAAAGCATCACTGATGTTAAAATAAGAGCACGGAGAAACCTTTTTATTTAATCTAGAGAAAGACAGGTGGAAAATGGTGTGTGTTAACATTGAGCAAAGTGCTGGAAGTTGATATATCAAGTTTTACACCTGCAGGATGTGGGCCACAATGAAACAAAAGAGCTGCTCCCATTGGTCGGTGATGAGTCACTAACGTGGATTCAAATGTGACTGCAAGGTCAAGTTTAAGCTTGTCGGGTTATGTCAGCCAATAAGTTGGGAAAGATGTAGAATTACCAGAAGAAAACATACTTACACATTTTCCAGACAAAGACAAGCTAATACAGAGCTGCGTTACACTCACATGACATTGCTTTGACATGAATGCTTTCAGTTTCTTAGGAAAAAACCCACAGGCTTTCTGCTCATTATAAATGGAGGGGGACGTGACACTTTGCATGTGCTTTAGCAGCACCAAATGCAATCTATTCTCAGTACATAATGTTTGGCAGACGCCTAACAATCGGCAGTTGTTCCATTCATTGTTTGGACTGTACTATGAAATTTAATTGAAGCAGATTGCTGCAGGAATGCTCTTATTTCTCTGTTATGTCACAGTCTATTAGGACAATGTTCTTGGGTTTCTCTTGCTGTACTTCACTGAAGGAAATTTGAGACTTTTCAGGGAGTGGGTGGGTGGAGAGTGTACTGAGTTGTGTGTAATTGTGTGTACTGGTGTGCACTTATTGACTTTATTTTCGGTGCTGTCTTACTCGGATGCCAAAGGGTTTTTTGAGTACGTCACGTTGCCTGCCGTACAGTGTCACGCCGTCACATAACCGCACACCTGGCTCGATGTCAATGCTGAGTTCAAAATGCCATAAGCACCCAATTTCTGTTAGAATTTAAAAACCTATTTATTATATCATGCTATGGTTGTAACACGAGTAATATGCAATATGTATTTATGACACTATCTTCAAAACCCGGGACAAGTGTTGTCAATGGCAACACGCCACATTGCACAGACTTTTTTTGTTTTTCTAACAGGCGATAAAATTACTGGGGTATTTCCTGCTACTAACTATAACTTGTGATGATCCACAGAGATGACATTTAGACACAATGGATTTCCTTGTAGCGTAATAAGTAGGCCTTACACTTGATTTTCAATGCATTTTTGTAAATTAATGCCAAAACTTACAAAGCGTAAGGGAGCTCTAAAGACACTAGATATGCCATCGTCTTTGCAAGGTATACACCTCGAAGTAAACATACCATGAAAATCCCACCAGTTACACCTTGCAAGAAGAGAATAGCATGATGCATAACTGCCTCCACATGCTAAATATACACTTTAGCTACTGATACACATCCCCTATTTTGCTGCAGGAGTTATTTTCTCCTGTGATTGCTGGAGGTATCAGAGCAGAAAAACCCTGGATAGAATTTCACAATGGAAATAATATACACCTTACAAAAATAACGCCCAGTTTTTTCTCACATCTATTGTATATGGAGCTTAGAATCCCCTATTTTTTCCATTCTGGTGACATTACAAGTTTCAGAACAGATACTAAAACATCTTAAACTGTCAATAAAAACTTGTCTTTCGATATTACTTCCCAAAATTTTAAAAACTTTTAATGCATCAAAATGAATGATTCCTTCAGCACAAGCAGCTCAACAATTTGAGCAGCAGCTCTCCCTTAAAATAGTCTAAAAATGTCCTTATTTGCATCCACAGCCTTTCTTCATTTACATGAAAGAGTTTCAGATTAATATGCAAACGAGATAAAAATCAGGCCAAGAATTTTGATGCCCTTATTCAGTGCTTGATGGCAGGTCTGGGCTCATAAATTACATGGTTTGAGCCCAGTCCCTACTACTCAGCCAAATTTCCATAAAAAATATGGTGTGAATCCAGTCCACCAAGCTTTCATGCATAAACATACTTTTCCACTCACACAAACACATGCTGTGTCATTTCTTCACAAGACGACCCTGTCACTGCTGTTGCTATAGAAACAGGAGGAGCTCAAAAAGGATGGAGGTAGTACAGAGTATAATGCAGTCTTACCTATGAAGGGTATTGAATCCAGGGAGTCATCAAGGTTGTTGGAGCCTGACTTATGTCGTGTGTCTCCAAGCCTTCTTTGATGCATGTCATTAGACATCCAGCACATCGCTGCATCTGCAGAGCCTGCCTTCACCAATGGTGGAGACTTATGCGTCACTGCTCTATGGTTGTCATTAACAGCTAGCACGTAGGACGGAGGTCGGATGTGAGGAGTTCCAGAGTTTTTGTCTCTTCTTAGGACAACAACTGTTGCATCTAGTCCTTCTACACCCTCTGAAAGACCACCGTTAGTCCGTACATTTGCTTTTGGCTTTTGGGTCACAGCTCCATTGGTAGTGGTGGAACCAGAAGAAGAGGCAACAGCTACACCTTGTAGTTGTCTCTGAATGGGCAGTTTAGAAGAAGGACCAGAGCAAGAGGAAGATCGGGCTGCCAACCCAGCCTCAGACCTGCTCTCCATTTTCAGACTGTCAGCCCTGCTTCTGAACTGAAGGTGCAGAGGGGATGAGTAGCCCAGGTGGTTGCCCATGATGTTAGCTCTTTGGTCTTTAGGAGGGTCCTTGGTTTTGGTGGACGATAAGGCAGACGAGAGGTCTGAGATGGAGTTCTTGACAGGCAAACGTGATGGTCTCAAAATTACACTGTCTGTCCTTGATGGTAGAACAGAATCTGCCGTACCTTTAGTAAACACAGGAGCAGCTAAAGCAGAGTTAGATAATCCACTTCTTCGAACCTCTGGTTCCTGGCCACTGAGACTCCTGTTCAGGTGAGGTAAAACTCTCAGACCTGCTCCTGGCCTGCTACTACTGGCTTCCTCAATCTGGCAAGTTAGCGGCATGTCCTCCAACCTTGCTCTTTCTTCAAAGAACGCCCCACCTGGCTCTCCAGGTCTATGCCCCAGGTAGTCACAAGACCGGGCCCGAGCTTTGGTGACTGCTGTGGGGCTCGAGAAAGGCAGAGCATCTTCTGACGCACTTCGAGGCCAATTCCTGATTGGTATTGTCCTCTCTGTTCCACCCCCAAGCCTCTCTTGGGAGGCACTACGTAATGGGGTCAATGCAGAACCGTGGATACTAGCATCCACCCCACGGTCATTGGAGGTGCTTCTTCGTCTGCCCTGGAAGACTGGCACCCCTCTTTGACTTGTGCTTGGGGGAGGGGGTTGACGTTGCTGGGCATAAGCTGATGTGGAATTGGCAGCTGCACGCAAGCTGTCCAAGCGCTCCTGGATTGTGCGGCAGCCATATGTGTGCAGCCTCTTTGAGTCGATATAGTCCTTATAGGTGGTGTAGTTCTTCCAGTCAATGTTCTGGTGAGGAGATGTTGATGGTGCTGTTGGAGAGGGTGAGTAGACGTTGGCGCTTTGTGAAATGGCAGCAGAGAATGTGTCTGGTGAGGCAAGGGTAAGAGGTGCTCGTACAGATGGAGAAAAGGTGTCGGGATAGATTGGGCTAGGTCGAGAACTTGAGGAAGGCGAGTAGACTGGGGATACTGTCTGACGGGAAGATGGGTACTGCAACTGTGCACCCCCAGGTATTGAGGGAATAAGTGGCCTGGGTCTAGCTGAGCCGGAATCAGCTGTTGGACTGTACCGGTTTTCTTCTGTCCTATGGCTGGGACCAATCCGAGCCACCCGGGACCCCCTATCTACTGGATCAGGAGGCATGGCAACTGTCCTGACATTCTCATTGCAGACACAAACCACCGTCTGAGACTTTGTCGTCTGTTGGGGTGGAGGGGATGGCGGAACAGGGATTTCCACCCTGTAGCTCTTTTCTGTGGCCGTTCCTCGTCTTTCTGGTCCCTGAGCCGGCTCTCTGGGGGTCTCACTTACGGTGGCAGGCTCTGACGCTTGAGCCATGCCCGCAGCCTTCACTTCTATCCGTGGGTAGCATATAGGAGGGGGCTCTGGGATGTTTTGGGCATTTCCGCTGTATGCCTCATTTCCTTTGAGGTATGCATCCTGGGAATACGCCTGCAAGAGATTACAGAACATTATGTCACTTACGTTTGGTGAGAGGTTAAAGCTCTTAAATAGATCACATTAAACCCCTAGAGAACATCATACCAGACCAAGGGGAGGATACCTAAGACACCTCTAAAAGACAGAACAGGGAGTACTGTAAACCTGTTAAGGGCAACGTCTTCCGTTGCTACATGACACATTTTTTTGCACTACCTCACCAATTACTCATGTCAAAAACTCTGTTTGTTTTTTTCAGCTACAATTTAAACCTTTTTTTCTATTATACCCTAACTACACCATGGCAATGTCTTTTCTGGCATCTTGAGAGTAGAGAAAAAAAAATGGTTATAGAAGTCATTTACTGACAAGAGTCTTTGTGTAAACTGATGAGATTATCAGCAAAGTAAACACGGTTACTGCATTCCCTCAGAGAACTGTAAGTGACAACTGGATTCAGCTTGTCTATAAAAACAAAACAGCAGCATGCTAAAAGTAGACACAGCGCCCCAGCTCGCTCCAAATCAAACAACACTTTGTTAACAGTTTCTCAATCTTTCCCAAGGAAACTGAGAACAAAAATGCAGCATGCAATGAAACAAATTAGCAGCCCTGAGAAACAATAGTTGTCCAAGAGCCAGATAGGCAAATAAGTAGAAAGAGAATGCTGGAAAGTACACAATAACCCCATGGAGCCAGAGTTAGGGATTAAGCTCGAGGGGCTTACCCACCTTTGGTACTGGAGAGTGTGACCTGAGGCATGAGGTGAGGGTAAACGGGGGACGCCTCTGCCTGCGTTTGGCAGTTAACATTACTTCTGTCAGCATGGCTCCACAACTATATCCTTACTGTAGCAACTGCAGTACTTTCCTTGATTATAACTGGAAGAAAAACCTTCAAATGTCTCTAGATGTTAGCCTGCTGTCTGTCCAGTGAAAGATCACAACGGGTTGCTTCAGGAAAGAAACTCCTGGTGGCATATTGAACGCTATGATTCCTCTCTCATCCCTTCGGCACACAAGCTCTTGAGAAAATGAAAGGGAGAGCGTCGTGCTGTTGGACTTTAATCGATAGCACTCTACCTGGGGTGTCAGATTACAATTTCAATTCAGCTACAGCAGTAAGTGTGCTGCTGGATGGCTCCCTCTGGATTTGCATAAGTCATACAGTCAAGTTGAAACCAATTTCCTTGACATGGAAAGTACAGAGCAATATGTTTGAAGTCGTCGGACATATGATGCCCGCATAACCTGCTACTCAGGGAAATGAAAGAAATTCCAGCACAAAACCACAACCACATTACAAATACAGAAAAGTAGAGGAAGTATATTTTGGAAATTTTAGGGACTTGCCCGCTTTTACATGTGAAAATACAGGCTCTAAAGGTGATGCAACATGTCATGAGAAGTGTGAGGGAAGAGATTAGTTAACCTTCTTACCAGAGCAGTGATATCTCTTGAAAACTGTAGTCCACATGTGAGAGAAGTGCAAGCAAGGAGGAAAAAAGAGAATAGAGAAAAGAAGGCAGGTGAGCAAAAAGAAATTAAGAGCTTTCAGATGGAGGTGAGACAGGCAACTTCCAAGTCTTCAGCACAGGATAAAAATACATTCTGGTTTGGAAACGCTGAACAGAAGCATCAGTCATGAGTAGAAGAAAGAAGAATAGAGGTCAAATTCGTCCTTCTCAGACCTGAATATCCTCAGAGTTCCTCTTCATCCCCATTATTTTCTCCTCTTACCAGTTGTCTTCCTCTACCCACAACACAGCTGCTGTCAAAATACAGTAAGCTGGTTTCAGCTGGCTTTCTCTCTCTCTCTCTCTCTCTCTCTCTCTTTCTACTCAGCATTTCTTTCCTTTGCTCTGTCACTCTCACCTGCTTGCTGTGGTACCTCCCCTCCCCCTCTCTGGTTTCTGGAGCATGTCAGCGAACACACACTCTCTCCTAGCCTCTTTCCTCCTCTCTGTCAGCCTTACGCTCATCTGTTAGACAATTCGCTTTATCATATGTTCGGCTTTTGGGTGAGCATAGCAGCGTGCCTGCCTGATCTGCGCTGGCTTCCTCCCTCACTCACTTACTCACTCCTGTAAACAGTGAGCTGAGAGGGAGTCAGCTGACTGCAGCTGCACTCCCTCTGGTAGTGGGAGTGGGATCAGTGACTCCCAAAACACAAAAACAGACAAACAAAAAAACATTTTAAACCAAACACTGATAAATATAAAGACTCCTCCTCCATTGATCCATATCAAACAACTCGGATGGAATTATGTTATTCTGAACTCTGCAACAATAACTTAAAATTGTCGGTGAAAAACCAAGTATTTATTTTTTGTGTGTGTCTTTATTCTTGTTCAAATGAGGAAAATATGTCAAACATAGCATCCTTAAGTGGCATAGTAGTAAATATATTTTTACTGGAATTATTCTTTAATTTCTTTTGATCTATGTAGTTATTTAAATACTGAGAGAAAGCAAATTAAATCAGAAAGAAAATAGAAACATATGCCGCTTTAATCACATCTTGTTTTCATATTTTCTTGTATAACTTTCATACTCACTGAGATACAAACATAGAGAAAACAAAGTTAAAACATGTACAGCAAGACACATGACCCAGTGTAATCACATCTTGTTTTCATGTTTTTTTCATTTGATCTTTGATACATATGTTTATTGCAACATTATGCACCATTTAAAGGCAATAAATCTGTCTAATGGCAGCTGGACTTTACAGAACTGTTAGCAGAGAACAAACCCAATCTGGCACATCTGACACTGAATTGAATTGCTAGTGAAGTTTTCGCTCAATAACAAAACAACAGCTAATTGCTCCATTCAAATCCCTCAGCCTTGTGAGCGCTCAGACTCTTTCCAAAATGCCAAAAGCAAGTTTCTGTGGCTTTTGGTGAGCTGAGGCCAAGCTATGTGTGGAATTTAGCAACACAGTGGGATCTGACTCAGTGCTCTGCTCCGAGAGAGAATTTCCCAAAGAGAGATGAATAATGTGTGACGACTGATTTGAGGTGGCCAGGCGCTGTTTTTTATCGTCTGTGGGGCTCTGGACCCTGACTGATGGCGTGGGGTGGTTGTTTTTGCATCAATGAGCTCATCAGTGTGAAGACCACAGGGGGGCTGTGGTATGAAGGTTAGCGCTTCTCCTTCTTTTAGCTGTTTTCTTACTGAATAATAAAGTTCTTTTTCTTTTTTTTAAACTAGCACACCATAAATCGATGAGTCAATCAAGAGCAGAAGTACGCCGACAAGACCGATTGTCACCTTTAACCAGAGGCCTCCCCACACCGTCCATATTTTTTACATGTGTAAAACTGAGCCTAAAGATCAATCTGTCAACACATCAGACCACTTTGTTATCATATTTCAAATCTTTAGCATAAACTTACCACCCACTCTTTTACAAAAACTCAGAAATGATCCTTGCTTTAACCATTCCAAACACGCTGTTTGTTAATCATAAACCCAACACACATTTTATTTCATCTTGAATCATCATACCGTTGTCGTAATAATCCTCTGCGTCCAATAAAATAATTAAGGTCCAATCAAGACTGAGCCAACATGAGGCTTATCAGATAAGTTCTGGATAGCATGTCAACCATTTCTCTCCATTTCTGTCGCTCAGTCAGACTGTGGCTTTTGCTTTATAGAACATTTTCTAGGCTACTGCTAAAGGAGTAGTATTCTCATGATTTTGGCTTTTTCATCAGAGTGACGTATGGGTTGATTTTGATCTCAAAGGTTTTAGCTCAGCATAGCTTAGCATTAGTCCTAGAAGTATTGAGAGAACGACTGACCTGGCTCTATTCCAAGTTCAAAAACACGCCTCCCGCCAACATAGAAGCTAATCAATAAAAAAGTTGTTTTTGTTAGTTTAACCTGTGTACTGGAAAGTAAAAATAACTTGTTTTTGTTGTAGGGCGTGGAGGTATTTCTCTGTAAACAACAGTTAAGTGAAGTGACCTAACAGGGAAGTTGTTTACAGACAGAACAACCTGTGTTCACTAACCAAATCTGACAACCTATAAAAGTAAAGTTCAGACATAGCAGCTGGATGGATATCTTAATCAACTCCCCTGCCCCATAAAACCACAATGTGTTATTTTAACACTACTCAGAGGTTGAACAAACAAGACACGGCCAATACATGCCCGTCATGGTGAGGTCTTCTAGTAAGAGCAACCTTTGACAGCTCTGGTTTCAAATCTGGGAATGATTATTAATCCAATTTGTAAGGTTTGGTATTATATCAACAAAAAGGTTCATTCTCAAGCACACTTGTAATATTTACTGATGACTGAATGCTTACCAGCTGCAAAATGTCCTCATCCTTTGGCATCACACAGAGTTCCAGTGAGGCATCGCTGAGGGACGAAACGAGTGAGATAGAATCAGAGTGAACGTGAGAATAAGAGGAACTGTTTCAACCAAAAAAGCTCAAAGCATCGGCGCTTCTTCGTGGAGCAAGTTTAACTTATAAACTCCAACCTTTTAAACGCTGCAGTGTAATGAAGTGTGAATGAATGTTACAACATGCTCTTGTTGTAGGGGAGGAGGAAATGTTAAGCTCTGGAAAACTAAATAGTTAAATAACAGATTATTTTACGTGTAGTTAGTCCAGAAACATTCAGGTGAGTGTTGGCAGTGAAATAAACTCAGGGATCAGGGTGGGAGTCAGTCAGGTTTTTGCCTTCAAATGACCCATAATAATAAATGACGGATGATGAGGAACTCACCTGTTCTGGATCAAGGCTATGACTTGTGAGTAGGTCTTTCCGATGATGCTCTCTCCATTCACCTTCACTATCCGGTCCCCTGGAACGAATAAGAGATTCAATTACAAGCCTGATATTTGCTACGGACAGAAACAAGACAAACCAGTTGGCCCATGAATTGATAAAAATCTCACATATGGGATGGGATATTAGAATATTACAAAGAGGCCAGTCTATTGACCGGTAAATTAATTTTGTTCATTTTTCTTAGCACGCGACCAACTCAATAAAGCACCTTCAATAACGCCAAACCCTCCAACTGTACCCACTGTCTTATCTCTCTAATAAAGGCACAAGATGCCCAATTAAAAAAATATATATCTAAAAATCCCTGAAATAAATTCTGTATCCCAGAGAGAATCATCTGGCATCCAGTCATTGTGGTTATGAACAGAGGAAACCACTCTGGAGGAGCGGCTTCCAGCACAAACACCCATCTGAGCTCCGATCAAAAGCGGCATACCAATACTTGTTTATTTAAAGGACCCCATGTGAGGAGCCATCCCCATTCAAGTTTTCTGAAGATGGCCATCTTACAGGAAGAGTGGGGAGGTGAGCTTTGGGGGAGAAAGGAGATAATTGTGGGAAAACAGAGCTCTCTCTCGTCCCAGGAGGGGGAGAGCGAGGACAGATAAAAAGCAGACAGTTTAGAGGCCACTTAACATTTCCTGTAACACTGAGTGCTAACCGGGGCAATAACGCTGACAGCAGAGAGCGCGGAGCTTCAGTTGTCACTTGCGTTTCATGAAAATGAAAAAGGAGCTGACTCACTTTTTCACTCCGAGTGTCTTCGCTGCTTATAATTAGGGGTGATTCACATATTGATAAATGAAGAAACAAAGTGGGAGATGGGAGAGAAACGGAGTCAGGGGAAGGCTGAAATAACAGTGTGCTTATTACACTTTGTTCAACCTCCCACAAAGGAGCCATCTGTTATTTTGTAACTCGTATCTGTTTGGCCTGGCAGGTTACAAGGAAGCGGAATTACCTACAGTACAGACGTGAAGAAATCTTGGCATCAAACGGCGCTTTGAGTTCAAATACAAGACAGGCAGAGTTAATCATAAGATCTGCCGGTTATCAGGAGTGAAACCGCAGGGTGTGTGTGTGTGTGTGTGTGTGTGTGTGTGTGTGTGTGTGTGTGTGTGTGTGTGTGTGTGTACCTGTACAGAGTCCAGCTCCATGGGCGGGGCCTCCCTCCTTCACTTGCTTGACGAATATGGTGTCCATTGGCTCCAGACGATTCCTCTGTCTCCCTGGCAACGAGAGAGAGAGAGAGAGAGAGAGAGAGAGAGAGAGAGAGAGAGAGAGAGAGAGCACATGCACCGAGGCAATTGGTCACACGGAGAGGAAGAGCAGCAGCAGAATCAGAAGTAGGCCAAACTGAAACTGAACGAGAAACTTAGGCGCAACATCTTCTGTGAAGTGTTGTTTACACCTTCACGCTGGAGTGATGACCACACAGATCATCATCTTTGTTTGTGATCTTTTTTTATGCATGTTACGTCTTCTGATTTTATGACTGCTGCCTTTGTGAAGCACTTTGTAACTTGTTCAAGTGCTCCGTAAATAAAGGTTAAATAATGATATTGTTATCTGTTATCAGCACTATCAAAACAAAGTTGACATTCAAACAGCACTCACCAAGGAGATACATAATTGCAAGACAGAACGAATGAATGAAATGTTTCTCCTCTGTTAAGTGTGATGGATTGTGTATTGGAAAATATGAACGCTCAAGCTTTGAACTGTATCACAAGAGACTTATTAACAAGGAGCTACGTCATCCTGACTGATAAATAAGATGATTCCAGTGTTCAAATTTAGTAGCATTGGAATTTAAACCGTAAGCATCGACTGTTTTTCTCTGTCCCTCGTGCTAACACATCCTCTGTCCCTTGATGCCTCCCTCCATTGACTCCACTCTGCTGTCAGACGTGTCCCGAGCTGCAGAACAGGACAGCGAGCAAAGGTCACGGCATGCTGACAGAGCTGCATGCAAACAAGCCTCGAGGGAGTTTCATTTCCCGTGACAGAGGGAGAGACGGCACACCATGTTGTGAGACGAGAGATGAGTAAGCGAGTAGAGAAAACAGAGATAATTTAAGAAGACCATTGAAGCACTAATTACTTTTTTTTTTTTTTTTTTACAGTACATTCACTTTAAAAACAGCAATTATGAGCATGTGCATAGATCAAAATAAATTCTCTCTTTGAGCCCTTAATGAGCCTCCATCTCTTCTGGCCTCAGCTACCTCTTAGAGACCACAGGCAACATCAGAGCATCGCACTGTTCCTCCCTTAGGGAACTCCGGCTAATACACATGCTCTTTTCATAAACACTCTGCTTTACATGTACAGCAGCAGCAGCAACATGCATTTATGACCCTCTGCAGATCTCTGAACAGCTGGACTGCAGCAGATGTGGGTTCAAAGTGTTGCACAGGAGCAAATTCAAAGACGAGGAGGGGAGAGAGATTTTACTCAAGTTGAATCCAAATGTGTAACGTAAAAGTCTGAAGCTCAGACTATCAATAAACACTTAAAATAAAATGGATTTGTGGACTACCTTTACAGCACGAGCTGCCGTTCAGCTAGCATGTCACCTTAAATGACTTTTACCTGCAGTAACATTGTCATGACAGTAAGGTAGTCAGAACACTCCCTCTTGTGGCTGAAAGTGTAACTGCATTCTATGTAAAAAAATAAAATAAAAAAGCCTTCAGATCCAGGGAAAAACAGTTTGATCATTTGTAAAAAGTGACCTTTAAGTGACATCTTTTTTTTTTTTTTATCTCACTCTCAGGTCTGATTAGATTAGAAGATGTAATCAAGGGGGGGAAAAACAGCTAAATACACATTTTTATAGAAAGGATGAGCACAGATTTGATACCCAGGTTAGCCAACGGGTCTTTTTGAAGTTGAACTGTATTTGTATTCGTGAACGCAATATTTAAAAAATAATAGTTAGACTGGGATCCTGCAGGCTTTTGTCAGATCCAGTAGAAGGCAGTGTAGCACATAAAATCACTGCTCTGTATCAGAGTGGAAAAGGGCAACACTCTAGTTTCCATCATGTTATTGCAGGTTATTATTTTGCTGGTGGTTGATTACACGACAAAAAAAAAAGATTTATGATGAAGTACTCCATTGTGGCTCTAACTCACAGAGAATGATGGAAAAACTGCACTCATGCATTTCTGAGTTACATCACTGGCACGACGTCAGGCATGGCTGACCCTTCATGTAGGTACCGATGTCAACAAACGCCTCCCCCCCCCTTCCCCTCCTCCCTCCTGCTCTCTTTGACCAATCCAGAGCCAATCTCATCGAGCTTCAACTCCGCAGCACAAATTGGATTCTGGAAGTTTCCACGGCCCCTGCAGCTGGATGAACGGGATTAAACCTGGAAATCTAAAGCTTTGGACATTTTTAATGCTGCCAACTGTCTTACAGAATCAAAAACGACCGCGTGGATTAAAGAAATACAACATCAGCCTGCCTCAAAAAGACTCTGAGCTGCTCCAAAATACAAAATGATGTTTAGATAACCTAGGCTGCTCTTGGGGGGGAAATGTCTTCCACCGTGGACACATCACTAAATACTCTTGATAAGATTTTACAACCTGGCAGCAGGTGCACGCTTGAATGTTGATATGACTCCATGTTTGTTAAGAACACAGTGCGAGCAAAATTGCTTGAGTTTGACACATTAAAATGTCAAATCAGTGAAGCACTGCTCCAGGCAGCCATGACAGTTACATTTTTATTAACTACCTCCCCATGCTTTAGTTATGTTTTCCCGTGAATTTTTTTCAATCTAGCATCTAAAACACTGAATCTGGTGAGTCAAAACAAGCATGAACATATAATTCAGCAAGTTATAAGTGAACTTTTCTCAAGTTTCTTAAGTGTTAACAGCAATGACATTAAAAGTGCTGTTTCAATGAGCCCTGCGTCTAATCATTATCCCCTTTGTCCATGATTTATGACGCAATAAAGTTTTTATTGATTTACTTTATCACTTAGATTTTCTGTGTTTTTTATTCATAACAAACAAACAGATGTTTGTTTGTTTGTTTAAGAGGTTATCAGAAACTGCATTTAGTTTTTTTTTCTTGTGCTTTTGTTTCTGTCATTTTCAAATAATCAGTCACGGTAACTTTTATGCTGTTTAAAAAAATGGCTCCCTTAGTAGAAGTAATTGACACATTCTCAATTTTTGTGGATTTCTGCAATTTTTACAAATACAATGATGACACAACTTTTTAAAATGAATGATAGGACATTCATGACAGCCTCTATTCGCTTAAAAGCCTCGGTTTTATCTGGTTTGTTGTCGTCTCAAACATATCTTGACACAGGCAAACTGACAAATGTCTTATTTTGAATGATAACTCAATTACATGAGAAGCAAAAAAGTGCATTTTTCTCATTCCTATAAGTTTTATAAAAGCATATTTAAGGTCTAATCCTTCAGTGCTCGCTCTCTGGTCGTCCATTGGCTCTGTGCTAGCGCTGCTCTCTGGTTTGGCTTTGGTCCCTTACTGCACAGCTGGGCTCGCTTGTGTCGGCCAGCTCCCCCTCTCCCCCACTCTCGCCCACTCCCCCCCCCGCCCCCTGCTCCCCTGTTGTTTTGGGTTAGATAATGTTATTCTTCAGAGGGCTGGGCCTGCTGCCCGCTCACTGCATTAACCCTGTTGTAATACCTCTCCATCCAACTCCCTGCTCTTAACCAATCATGTCACACTCACGTGTATATAAGGAGCACAACCTCGCACAAATGGTCAAGTGAAAAACAATATACAAAAAACTATGCAGATGTATGCTTTTTCTTCACTGTGGTTCTTAAAGGAAGTGTTTGTCTTGTACGTTCCCATCACTTCAAACACTGAGGACGAGGAGGAGGAGGGCTGTGTGTATGTTTAGATGGTTATCTGTATCAGGTCTCTTGCAACAGAGAAATATGAAAATGCGATGCACAAAATCCTGGCACAGCTCCCCCCCCCCCCCCATACTGTGGAGAAGGTCAAAGCACAAGAACACTACACATAAATACTTAAACTCTGGCTCCCTTCAAAAAGCACAGCGAGCTTTGTTGTCAGACTTCTGCTCAAAGAAACAGGATTTCTCAAAGACAGCAGACGAAGCCTCGCTGAAAACAAATACTGCAATTCTTTCTCTGTTTCTCCCGTTCCCATGAAGGAACACTCGGTGCAGTTCACACACAAACTGGTCCAAACACAACTTACTTTGAAAGCTTAATCCTCATAGAAAACACACCTGCATACTCGAGCCCTGACCTCTGTGAAAAACTCGACAAACCCACATCCGTACGAACTGTGTCAGAAGACGGTTAAAGGATTTGTTGGCCGTCTCAGATGGACAGGTCTCATTACAGTAATCTGAAGTGTGTAAAGAGCCGCAGCTTTATGTCAGTCATCTCTGCACACACTGGTGCAGTGTGTGTCAATACAACTTAAAGGTGCTGTCATCACTAAAGCTGGCAGGTCAAGAGTTTGTCCTTGCATGGAAGTTAATAAATAGATAAAAATGATGTCTAAATGTAGTCGTTACTAGAGGTGGGAATTGCACGTTACGATGAGATACGAGGCCGACAACAGACGAAACTCAATGGACTGCAGAAGAACCTGGTAGTACTTTTAGAAAGCTAGCAAGGGGCCCTTTGAGGTGAAAATGTTCTCGTCAAACCTTCCCATATCACCTCAAACTAAACGTTTTGTAAGACAATTTTAACTTGATCTACCGACTTCTATAAGATATCATGAATATCGAGGTGTTCAGGTGCTAGGATCCCTTTATGAGTCCTTTCCATCGTCGTAGCATTCCTTAAAATTGGAAAGAAATCCAGATGTAGATAAAGCACTGCTTCATCTGTATACTCATCCCCTCATCACACACATTTACACACACACACACACACACACACACACACCTGGTGTTTTTTCCACCACGCACGAAGGTGGTCGAGCACTTTCTGGCTCTTTTATTTTCTAGGAATTCCAAATACCAAAATCCACCCAGGGGAAAGGGGATATTACTCTGACCACAAAGCAGTCAGAAAAGAAAGAGAAATTTGATGTTTTGTTTTTCTTTCTGTATAAAAGCAGCCAAACTACGTTACAGAGGGAGTTCAAGTTCAAGTGAGGAAAATAAAGTGACAAACATCTGGAAACAGATGGGCTGATTTTAGCCTAAATGATTGTCTGTTTCTTTAAGCACTGTGTTTAATGAGCCAACACGCTCTGAAAGAATGTGAAGGGTGGCGTCTGCTTTTTGTAACCTTTGGAAAAAGAACAAAAACTGAAATGATTGGTAGAAACATTGTGTTAATCTGCACTCAAGTCCAATTCAACCATTAGCATGTTTAGCTCTAGTAGCAATTAATCATGTCAATAACCTCAAAGCCTTGATTCTAATAAAGCTTTCACTACACTGCAAAGATAATTACCCAAATCCAACAAGATGGTTTGAGGTATAGACCTGAGAGATGTGCCTCAAAGTTATTTATTATTCTGTACCTCTTTTTTCTTTTTGCATGTAGTCTAAAAGTAAATATTAGAGACTTTTTCTCCAAACAAATAAGTGGTGAATATTGTTGAAGTCATTCAGAGGTAAGTCAGTCAAAACACACAAACAGAACACACACATGCACAAACACAACAGGAGAGACAATTGTTGATGTCCCTGTTAAACTGAATGATAAATAAACTGAAATAACGTGGACGCAGGCTGCTAGAAGAATTAAATTAACACACAAAAAGTTTCTTACAAGTATGAAAAGTCACAGACTGCTTTCAAAACATTTTTAAAAACTCATGAGGCTTATTCTAGCCGCTAGTCAGCTAGTTAAAAAAAAGATTTCAGCAAAGATGTTGTTGTTTCCAGGCAGAAAAAAAGATCTGTGCTTTTCGTAAAGGTCCGTCTGAAATCAAGGGTTAAGGGTCTGTTTATTAATGAATCACTGAACACTGCATACGTTCTGTAAGAGCAGAAAGCCTAACAACAGTGAGTAGCATGAGCCTAAAACAGCTTGTATGACTTGAGTTTAAATGTTAAACAACTGAAATGTGGGTGGTTGCGGAGAATGTCATAACAAATAAACAAGTTAGAGTTACAATTACTCACGCGCAAGATAAAAAGACTACACAAATCAAGGATGCAAGGAATGTGAAGGAGAGAAAAACACGCTATTAAATCAGACTGGATTTGAGGAGTTCAGTGTGAGGCCAGGTCATGAAGTGTCTTTGTTGGCAGTAAATATACAGACAGAGAGAGAAAGGATACAGGCAAAGGCAAAGGAGCAGCAGAGAGGAGGAGAAACAAAGACGAAACTTTGGACCGAGCTTTGTTAAAGAAGGTGGGGCGTTTAAAAGCTCACTGGAGGATTCTGGGGAATTCTGTTTGCTTGTGCTGCATTACATTCCCTCCGCAGACTTTATGGGAACTAACCCGAATCTGACATAGAAAAAAAAAAAAAAAAAAAAACGAAATGAAGAGAAAAGTGTTTCTAGTTGAATGAAAAACAAATATTTTAACAGATGGAGAAACTTTTTATGTTGCTTTTTCTTCTTGCTGCGCCGCGGCACCAAAGCTTCATGAGCAGAGCAAGAAACACCTCATTTGGATTTTTAAAACACATGGCCGAAGAGAATGAGAGACAGAGAGATGAGGGAGGAAGAGAGAGGAAGTGAGATAAAGAAGATTTGAGATTACTGCAGCTTGGTATGTAGACAACCACTGTGAAAGGGGAATACACAGATCCATACCCCACACACACACATCGTTCAAACTGTGCAGCTACAAACTGTACATCATGTGTTTATCCCTGACTCTATGTCAGCGAGTATGTCTTTCTGTGTGTGTGTGTGTGTGTGTGTGTGTGTGTGTGTGTGTGTGTGTGTGTGTGTGTGTTTTCTGCAGGTCTGAAGTGTTTCCAGCGGCAACACCCAGCTAGTCAACATGCGGTCGGCTCGAGCCCCCCCCCCCCCCCGTCCCCACTCTCCAAACACCAACAGCCTCATCACACACTGGCATAAAGTCAAGCAAACAAACTGAACTACAGCAAGCGATCATCACAGAGCTGACTCAGAAAACTACAGAACGCTGACGATGTGACCTAATCAAAATTCATTTAAATTCCCTAAACATATTGGACTTGTTAACTGTGTATCTGTGTGAAGCCTGTGAATTCACAGGGGGTGCATTCAATCTCTGTTATACAACATTGGCTGTTAGTTTTCTGTCTTTGGGCACATCATGTTTCAGAATAAAGTCTAGAGTCATACAGCCTCGGGTAGGCAACAACAAGCTGTTCTTGGCCATAAACAATCCTTCAGAAGAGAAGCTGAATCTGCAACGCCTCCAGTTAACAAACATGTTTGATTTTTTTTTTTTTTTTTTAAGCTGTTTACAATACGAATCTTCTTTTTTTGTCTGCAGACTCACTGTATGAAAAGATGGATTACATCACAGCTTATCAAATGTGAACCAAACATTTGGAGTTCCCCCTACTGACTAGCTGCAAGATTGGTCATAAGCTCCGCCCCCTCCGTGTGAACAGATGGGACCTGCGTCAACTAAAAACTATTGTTTTCTCAAATATGGTTTCTGTCATTATAGTTAGTTCTTATCATCCTGTTTAATGTCTCCTCAGACTCCTGAGAAGTTTAGTTTTCGTTGATGATTGACAGCTCTGTTTGCAAACGTGGTTCCTGCAGCGTTCTTTAACCATCTTAGCAGAGTAGAGGAGGAACAGCGAGGGGAAACATAACAAATATCAGTCGTTCATTTTTCCAAAACTTTGAGTGTCCGCTCCAAACAGACACAAGAAACTGTTCTGCAGTAGACTGTACCAACCGGAGTTTTGGTTGGCAGAAGGGGCGGGCCTTCAACACTACTAAGCCAACAAAGATTTCCAAATGTGCAAAATTACAGCACTCGTTGTGGGGGGTATTTTGGCTTTACTTTTGTGAAAACAGGAGGAGATGCGTCATCCATCTTTATATTCAGTTAAAGGTAGGATAGGAGCAAGAAACATGGACGCTACAGTACCTATATCACAATGGACTTGTGTCACTTTTTAGTCTAAATACTTTTGAGGATAGATATTCATTTCTGAGTGTACTGCTGTCAGCATCATCAGTGTCTGCGAGCCCGCTGAGAGGCGTAGAAGGATTTATGACAAGCTGGAAGTAAGCCAAGGGACTTCCTGTGTCACTGCAGGCGCTCTACAGGCGAGGATCATTATTCACCAGCTATTCAGCCTCACGATGAACGGTTCTCATGCACTTACTTCACACTACTTAACACTAACACAAGTGAGTTTTAAGTGACCACATCTCTCAGGCAGAGTCACACAAATTAATTCAGAACGAGAATGTGTAGCTACATAAATCCCCATTAAAGTTTGTTTCTTGCCACAGCAGGAGTGTCTGTGGTTATTTCATGTTTTAAGGCCTGATTGAATGACACTGGTGGACATGGAGGGGTTAAACTAGGAGGGGAGAGGAGGGGGTGAGTGTGAGGAATGCGACACCGAGGGCCAAGAAGGATGATGAGGGACACTTGCAGGAATCTCTCAATTTCCCGTTGAGAGGAGTTTAAGAGTCACATTTATCACAAAGAAAGTGCACTTTCCCTCCTCTAACCCTGACCTCTTCGCTTTCACTGTCCACCCATGCAATAACAATCGGCTGAATCACACCTGGTCTGTGTTTGGGTTCATTGCAGGCTAAACAAACAGCCAACAATGATATTCTTCATTTTACGACAGACAAAGAAAATAATGCAACAGCCAAAAAATCTGGCCACATAAACCGGGTTTTCTTTGACATCCTTTTTGTGTTTAATCATCTGAAAACACAAAAAAAGTTGACCTTTTATTTAAATTAAAACACACGGGATTATTTCTTTGAGACCACATTTTTGCTGTTCTGTCTCGGTTTATTTTTTATGGGTGCCCTTGTACACATGAGTCTCTTTAAGACACAGATGTGAGATGAAGGGCTGTTTTAAGACGGCCTGTGATGAACCGCAGCAGAGGAATCCTCCTGCATTCATGCTGGGCTGCAGACGTGAGCAGAATACCAAGGAAGACGTACGCTGGATGCTCTGAGGAATGTCGAGGCCCTGCCAAGCTAACAGGCTAACGGCACAGCTCTGACTGCCACTCTGAAGAGAAAAAGGGGACTGAGGCTTTTAAACTGCAAAGTGCAGCACAACACAGCCTGCAGAAAAGACAGCTGCCCCTGCCGCATGTTGTTTACTAAGACCAAATCAATGCACTTATAAAGCTATTGAGGCTTAATTAGTCATGGAAATTAAATGTTTGGACCAAAGAATCATCACAATGCATCTATTTCAATTTATAAAGCCTGAGAATACATTAAAGTAATGGCCTGTCAATCCTAATTTGATCCCTATTCTGGAGAGTAACTGAAGAATATATGAAGGTAAATGGTTTCTGTTATATCTCATTTCAACAGCTGATCCCAGATCACACAGCACATCTATTATTCATGCAATTTTAAAACATAAAAAACATTTTTTTGGACACTTACCACGGCTGCCATTCTCTTCATCCTAAAAGAGGAAAAAAAAAGAGAGTCAATGTCAGAAGATTTGTGGTACAACCTTATTCCTGTTCCCTTTTCTAATAGGCTTGCAGGAATTTGCGATGAGCGATAACATTGTTTAGTGCCCGATGTGGTCAGAAAAGCAGCATTATGGCACGTTGATGTTATTTCCTTTCCCCTCACACATAAAACCTTAATTTCCCTCTGAGCTTTGGTGAAAAATCCACACACTGCGGCTTTAATCCCGCTCCCCTCAGTGACACATATGTTCTCCATGTATCCTTTAAGACCCCCACACACTCCCAAAGCTCTCCTTAAGATGCTCTGACCCTCTTCAAGCTAAACCCAATATCCTCAAACTGCGATTAATCAACAACTCCAATCCAAGACGCTCAGAGTAATTATCATGAAATGTTTTAAACCCAGTCCCCGTTGGTTTGGGTTACGTAATGGGAAGACTGGTGAGAGTTTACAGTGAGTGTGACCTGACGGATTTAAAGAGAAGGTCTCACTTTGACTTTTTCCCAGAATCAAGTCTTATGATAAGATGGTTACATGAGGCTCAAGACAGTCAGCTAAAGGGCACAAACTTAAGCTTAACAGTTAGTTTATTTGTTCAGACCGTTGTGCAGACGACTGTAAGCTCTTTGTCAGTGTTTCAAACTGAATTAATTGCCCCAAATTGTCTGGTAAACTGCAATATTCAAGATTTTTCTAAATGTTTTAAGGGCATAAACTTGATTTTGAAGACACTAACATTACACATTACTGTTTGAGCTGCTCACACTTTGAACAAACGACAAAACACATTAAAAGTCAATGCAATGGTTACCATGGGTCAATTTAAAAACAAGATTACAATTCACTGTGTTCATGAATGTAAATGTTTTTATCTGTGGTCCCCTGCTCTGCTGGCTTCTGGTTTTATAATCCATGTATTTAGTCTGTTTTGATTTTGGTCATCTTTTCATTTAATTTGTACTCTTGACATCATCATAAACGAGAGCTTTCCCTCAAGGATTTCTCCAGAATTGAAAAGGTTTAATGATGATGTAATATTAATCAAAATATGTCTTAATATTGTTTTACAACTAACACTGCCCTCTGGAGCTCTAGCAAGATTTATGATTTCATCAGTAGCTTCTATGAAAAACCTTCCCTTCACTGTGCTTGATTGCTGAGCTGATATACGCGAGCTAATTAGGTCCAAAACACTCTGGCATTTCAAAAAAACTGAAATTTATCTAGAACTATCATTGTTAAAATTGTGCATGATACAAATGATTCATGAAATCAAATGATTCAGCAAGTTTTCTACGTTCTGTTTTTGTGGCTTGCTATAAAAGCGATTGACTGTGATGCTGTGGATACATTTTAAACAAAGGTACCCTCGCTTTATAGTACACAGAAATCGCTCTTTCTTCAACGCAGAGGCTAAGGATTGGCAGGGATACATTGTGATACCCCAGCAGGCCTTTGGGAGAATCTTTTGGTTACACAGAAGTCTGAAACTCCTAACTGTCATGCCACAGTTTCTCTTTGAATGCGTAGAAGCAAAGCCAAAAGCTATAAACAAGCAGCACTGTGCTAACTTTGAAGGAAATCCATCTGTGAGAGCTGTAGAGGTTGTCCAAATACACTTCAGAGAAACGTAAGCCCAACTTATCCCGAATTATCACTTAGAAAAACTAATAGTCAAGAGGCCGTGATAAGCTGACTCCAAACACCAGCACATTTTAACATTACCCAGAAGCCCTGCAGTGTTTACCCAGAAGACCTTTAGTCTGTGTGTGCCTGTGAACATTAGAAACAGGAAGAGCTGCAACGACAGGATTAATGCCAAAGGGCAGATCCGTGCTGATGTTGTCCAGAGGACGGCTGGCACACTTCCAGGTGGGATGATACAACAACAGAGAGGCTGCAGCTGCATACTGACATGTGCATATCAATATGACTGTTCCATAGAAAGAATGTACTGCTCTTTAGTCTGGTGAACAAAATGACCAGAGATGCAGAAACAGATTTCCAACCGAGGGTGGGTAAGTGCTGAGGGTGCCACAGTACCAAAGGTGACGCGTCAGAAGTTCACTTTTTTTATATATATCTGCTGTCTGAACATATTTATAACATATTGTTCAGTGCCTGACAGAAAACGTGTTGAAAAGTAAGTTTAATATGTGCGAATATGATTTATTTTTCTGACATGGCATCATGTCAGGTCAAAGTGCTCAAGGGTTGACTGTGGGTCAGCGTATCTTGGAGAGACATTTGGTCCCAAAAGCGCCAAAGCAAACACACGAAGAAGAGAAACTGAGCAAGAGGATGCTGGGTCAAGTTGCTGTACGAGTGTGTCTGCCAATGTTACACCTGCTCCCTCACCGAACACACATGGCTTTGCTGCATATCCAACAGGATATTTTGGACAGGTTGGACATTAGGCCTTTAACACAGATCTTTGTGCAGCACACAGTGGAACGCAAGGTCACTTTAGGCATCTCCAATTAAAGTAAGGAAATCCATTATTTAAAATTTTTGCTGTTAACATATGAAAAATATGACGAAGAAATATTGATTTTGTTAGAGTTGATTGTTTGATTTTAGTGTCATCAGAGGAATAAGATATGACATTCTCTCACCTTCAGAGAGTTGTGGACGGCAGACTCAGGCGGGTAGACGATAAAGTGTCGCAGTGTGAATCCGAAGCCTTGTGAGGTCCGGCGCAAGTGAAGCGTCTTCGGCCCCGGCCAGGAGAAAGGCTCCTCCTCAGCCCCAGGAGAGGCCAGAGCTGATGCCTCACTCTGATCCAACCCATCCTTCTGCTTGGCCTGAAAGAAGGACAAACAACAACAGATGTCAGAGTTGATCTTAAAAATGGAAACAGATTAAAAAAAAAGACCAGTCACATGACTTGTTGAGAGTTAGATGAGAACATCAGATAGCACGTTCAAGCCTGTAAGGTCAATTCAGATAGCAGAGGCCAGCTTAGCTTTAGGATAACTGAGCATAGAGATGTAAAAAAAAACAATTCTTTACCATTAAATGAAACACCAAGTTTGATAGAAGATATTAAATTGGTAGTTTTGGAGAGGCTGGGTGGCAGACACTGTGACATATAGACCCAGAACTCCTTTTCCTCTTGTTTCAAGTCTTAACACTATGTTATGCATACCGACCTCTCGCTTTAGGATCACTACTAGCATTAGACTCAATTGTGAGGTATTAGTGTGGACAAAAATTGTTAGTAAAACCACTTCATCTAGTTAAAAGTACAATTTGAGACTTATCAGATTATTTTTTTCATCAGCATAAAATAACAAATTCAAATTGTCAGGCAAATCTCAGCATGATGACGTGAAACATGAATACTTTTTTTCAACCCCCAAATTCTATTCAAACCACCTCAAAACCTCTGTTCCAAAATGTATCAAAGGACCCCCTGGAAGAATCACTGCTGTTGTTGATGCACTTCTCCCCAACAAATAAATCAAATGTGGTGGTGAAAATAATGACACAGTGATCATAAAACTCTCACACCCACAAAAACAGGACAGTCACATCATTCTCTTCACACCTCGTCATGGTGTAAGCAAAGTTGTTTTGCTTGAACAACGCCAAGTGATTTCGCTGACAGCTGAGCATTGATCTTATTCATCAACTTGATATGAAAACACAGAAACATCCCCTGATGGTGATTCTTCACAGTCACGCTCGGTTTGGTTGTTAATGCTCAATAACAGAATGTAATTTGGCGGTCAGAAAATAACTCTTCTTGGAATAATATGAGTGTTAACAAGAGGCATTATCTTCGAAAGGTTAGTTCTGTGTATCTTGAGTAAAAGTGCACAATCAAAAAAACTTGTTTCTGTCTGTTAAAAGTTACATTTTCCTACCACTGTGACTCTGTTTCATGTTGCTAAGTAATGTGCTGGCTTATGTTGGGTCTAAATAATAAAACAAAGAGTGGTCTATAGACCTTCTCTTTTTGGTATTTGATTGGAGACAACATTTGCTATAAATTGTGGCTACACACATAAAGATTTATGAATTGATTGATTTAAAAAGGCTGTATTTGAGTTTCAGTCTTTTCTCCGTCTGTGGACACAAACACGATAGTCAGATGCTTCTCACTAACATCCAAACCACACAAAAATACTTTACTTATCGGAGGTCATATCCCTTTTTCCACCAACTGAATTCATTTGTCAGGTGGTTATATAACTATTTCACTTGTTTATTTTATGGATTTTTCTGGACTTGATATGTATGTATGTTGTATGTACTTTTAGTTCATGCATAAGAAAAGCTCAGGATATTCCCTTATTTAAGACGTCATACACAGTTTGAAATAATGCAGCAAAAAGTTTCAAACTGCAGTGAAATACTTCATACCTAACTTGTATTTGACATTGACAATCATATCTGTCAACATAAGCATGATTGTTATTAAAGCCACTCTTGTTCTGCCCAGAGCTCCACACAAACATACATGTGGCTTCAGTTATTGCACGTTTGGGGCTTTTCTGGGCTGTTTGGCGTGTTTGCATGATGACAGACTTATCTTCTACATTCCTACTGTGACTAACACACGGGATAAAAACAACCCTTTAAATGCTGGCGATGCTCTCGGCTCGTGTAACATTACAGTTATGCCTACATAACACAACACATGCTCCACATCACAGCTGCACAACTTTGATTTTAAATGTTCTGGAACAAAAAGCTGCTTATTAGGAAAAAATGTGTTTACGCTGAATCGGTCTCAAATGGCAACTGTAGCTAAGCTGGAAACGCAGTGAGTCAGTCGGAGCTACGTTCAAGAGCCTGTTTTACTGGAGATGACACCTTATAAAACACAGTGATAGACACAGAAACACATGGATGCAGAGGACGGTCACATATAAGATCCTGGATGTTTCATATTATATTATAGATCCAGTCTGGGAGTTGGGCTGGTAGCTGGAGAGGTGCCAGTTCACTTCCTGAGCCCTTAAGCAGGGCCCTGAACCCCTTACTGCTCGGGCGCTCTTTCATGAGCAGCCCCTAAATCGATATCTTTCCATTGGTGCATGTCCATAGGAACATGTTGTGCATGTGTGTGTAGTCATGTGTGTAAAGCACTCTTTTTGCACAACAGAGAGCAAAAATGGAATTTCCCCTCAGGGATTTAAAAAGTATAATAATAAACTGTATGTTATCTTATCCTACGGTGATGAAAAGCTCAATATTACGACGAAGGGCTGAGGAAATATTTAGTCGATAACTTGTTACATCCAAAAATGTAGCGGAAGAATAGTTAAAGATTAAATCAAATTCTTTTAAAAACTTTTAAACGGCCCTTAAGAGCTTATAGCAGAGGAGCATAAACGCCAAGTAACACAAAAAAAGAAGAAAACTCAAATACAGAAGAAATGCAGCACAGCTGGTTTTGGAGGTACAGTGAATAAAAAGGGGGGTACTGTCATGGTTTCCCTGAGTCCAACAGTTGTTTTGTTATGGTCCAACTAACAAGCATAAGACGATACAGCTCATTATAAATGATCATTATGATGATGTCACAATGGGCAATTAAAATTAGCAAATGATCTACAATGTTTCCCATCCAACACCCAAAGACATTCAGTTTACTGCCACAGAAGAAGTGAAGACACCACATTTTCTATATGAGAGCATGTTGTTATAAATGATGCAAGTTTTTTAAGAGTTTTTGAATTCATTTTTGTTCCAATGTTTTTTTTTTTTACCAAAAGCATTTAAAAGAATCATAATCTAAGATTTAACTTAACGTACAGCAAAAGGCTCAAATATTCTGTATTTCCTAATCACAAGAACTTCATACTGTGCACCGTCGTTTACAAACACTCTGACCTCTCCTGCAGCTATGAGCTGTCTTAGCAGTTCAGACTTCTGCCACATCCATCATCAGGCTAACGATGGAGCAGAACCGCTGCACCACAGGGCGTGCGTTAGCGGTTACAGCTAACACCACCACAGCGACTGGAGGCTACAAGGGCCTGCCAAGAGTCTCAGTCTGAACTCGGCTCTCTCCATGGGCTCTTCTTCTACCAAAATACATCTGAGGTGTGGATCCAAAACAAAGACCTCCTCCCTGGTCGCCCCTCTCCATCAGAACACCTCTCCTCCTTCTCCTCAGGCTCAGTCTGGGAGCAGCAGATGTCGGAGCCTCCAGAGAGCGGGATGGGTGTGGGCTTAATGGTTTGACTGGTGAGATCATGAGCAATACCCAACGGCAAGGAGCTGGAACTGAGCCACAGTCCACAGTGGAGCTGGGAGAGGAGCGCTGATGGTTCAACTGGGCTGTTTGTTGTGTTTTTATGTTAAAAGTTTAATGTTGGATTATGCAATAGCTAAGCTATCTAGCGCTAATGCACCATGCCTGAGGTACTCACATCATGCATATTCTATCTTTCTCTAGATTCCTACTGGAGGGATCAATATGGTTATAGTAGCATTTTATTTTTCCTTATTTTTCGGTGTATTTATGAAGCATATTATAACCATACAGATTATGACTGACTAAAATATTGCGATAGTATCATAATATTGGACCTTTTGGTGATTCCTACTATAACTCAGTCATATCAAAAAAGATAAAACACTGTAAATCTGCTCCTAACAAGCTCACACAAGTACTTGACAGTCAATTTATTCATGCAATCTGTTCATTAAAGCAGTCCACACCATTATGTCTACGCTAAGGGTTTGATCAGCGTGCTGCCATATGGTGCCATGGCCTGGGGTTTGGTGCATTTGCATGCTTATCCCTGCTTTCTTTGTGAATATAAGATGAGACATTTGAATGGCATCATGTCTGGACTCTCCTTACATTTTCAGTTTTTTGTTTTTTTTTCAGTAGGTGAGTCACTCGGGTAGTCTGACCTCATAGATCTACCTCTTCCACTCCTTCATGCATTTTCTTTCCAAACTTCTCTCCCTCTCTGACCACAAACTTTAACCTTAGTCACAATCCTTCACGATAACATTGGAAAATACGCCTGCGACTCCCTACTTTAGCCCATCACTGAAGGATGACTTCATGCCATTAAGCTTTAGAGCACTCTGTAAGTGCTGTAGATGTATGCACAGCTGGAAAATAAACAGTAACTTTCTCCGACAGCCAAGTGTCGATGTGAAACCACCAACAATAAACGAAACCTAAACCCAAACAGACACAGGTTACACAAGATATCGGTCAGTGAAACAGGACTACCCTGCCGCTGGAGAGTAGGATGACGCACACAAAATTCCTCAGACAGCACAACAAAGTGCAGCCGCCCCTCACCTCTCCTCCCCTCTCAGAGGCTTCCTATGTAAACCTATACACCTCTGCCAGACACTGATAATGCTGAGCACATATTTCAGCCAGACGGTGTTTCCCCTAAACGCCTCAAAACTGTAACACAACTGTCAAATCACAAAGATGCTTTTCCGTCTTTCCTTACCCTGGATCGGACACAATTCCTCCTGGAAGCTTCCCTGAGCCGAGCCCAGGACACGCTACGGTTGGGACTTGTCAGCCCCAGTTCCACCTCTCCCCAGTAAGCTCGGGCTAAAAGCTGGAACCAAAGACAGTACGGCTCCGACAGGCAGCCGTCCACGCCAGCCAGCCGAGCCCAGGGACAACCTCCTGATGATGGGGAGGGAGAGAGGGAGCAACACCCTTCTGCGGTCACGTCCACATCCCGCAAGTCCGGTCGATCCTTCAGAGGGACCGGTTTACAGCCCGGAGGGAGCCCGTTCTTCTGGGCCAGCATTGCATATCCAGGTTTGATTTGGGATAAAATCCCAGAATATATCCTTCCAAATGAACTGGGTACTTTGTGTATTGGTTCCTTGTTTCTGCTAGATAGTCTACTCCAAATGCAAGAACAATCTTCAAATCCAAGAGTGGAGAAACACGGGTGTTCCCCTTGGTTACAATGGAATAACAAGGTTTGAGGTGGTGAGATTTAATTACCATACAGATCCTTAAAAATGCTCAAGCTTCTGCGCCTTTAGTTCTATTCTCCCCTTGATAATTTACTCCTAATCCAAGGTCATTCCAGCTTCTTTTCTCCCTCAGTCCGTCCTTAAATCTGGCCTCAGTGTGGAGAAACAGGGCTGTTCCTCCTGGCGTCCCACAGACACATGATGTTTCCACTCAGCCGAGAAGAGAGAGCACAGCAGGCTGAGTGCAATGCAGAGAGCCCGGGCCGACCGACGGACTGACGCACCCACCCACTCACCACACAAAACTCTCCCTCTGAAGTATGCATACACACACACACACACACACCAGGCAGCCTCTTTCCTGTCTCCTCCATCCCTCTCTCTCTAACTCTCCTCCTCTGCTACCAACCTTTCAAAGTTTTAAGTAACAGACTCACGTGTAAAGGCCGATCAATAAATCATAAGAACAAATTTAAGGAGACGCAAGACGCACACAAGTCACAGGTAAGGGAAAAAGGAGGCGCCATACAAAACGTTTTTGGGGCCACAAAAGCAGCACAGAGTGTCCATCTGCCATGACACACAGGAATGACTTGGATTGTTTTCTCAGCCAGTTGAGGAAGTCAAGTAGGGCTAATGCAGATAAGGAAGCATATGTGCTTTGTGAAATCTATAAGGCACAAAAATGTACTGCTGACCCGCCCACCTCTGCACGCCTGCAGCTCATCTGGAGACTACAAAGAAGTGATCTATGTGTGGCAAACGTTTTTGTCAAAAGGACAGCAATAAGTTGAACATGTGATGCACACGGTTTTGCAACAATTAAAAGAGTTTTCTATATAGAGGAATATATCCTTTTTTGGGAGACAGACACAAATCTATCTTAAAAACAAACATGAGTCCTGCATGGTCACTTGCATACTTCCTTGTATCCAAAGTGGCAGTAAAAAGATCCTTCAGTGTAACTAAAGGGGCCAAAACACATCTCTTTTTTTCACTTCAAGGCTGTTTGTTGTTCTTTGTAACTAATGTCAGCGCTTAGCTCCGCCCCATGGTTTCCTTGTTAAGGAAAAGAAAAAACATCTCAACCAGATTTTGGGTACAGCATTCACAGTAAGTTTACAACAAAGCCATAAAGTAACATAATAAGCTCCAATATTTTAAAATACGCTGACTGTGCGACAAAGTCAACATGATAAACTGGAAGAAATTGAGACACAATTCAAACCAACTGTCCTGTAATGTTCTTCCTCCTTATGAGCATGACAGTGAACCACCCCCCCTCCCTCACCCAGCACAATCTGCTTAGTGTTAGAACCTAACAAACATGTAAATCTCAACTCCAAGACCTGCTCTTTGCACTGGTTTTGTAATGTTACGTAACAGGGCGGCCATGATGCCACAGGCCAAGGATATACTTATTTAATCCTCGGAGGTAAACAAACTACTCAAGAGACTAAGCACCTGTGTTTACATCTATGGAAAGCAGTGAGAGCGCGAGGAGCCGGATGGAATCAGGCCATCTACCTTTTAGTCCATCTCTCCTGTGAGAGACAGGGAGGCCAAAACATCCATTTAATATTTAATCACATTTTTATTTCAGGCCTCTCTGGAGCATTTTGTGCTGCGCTAACAGCAACATCAGGACTCACTTAATGGTGAGTAAGTCTGCGCTGAGGCTTAATCTCATATTCTTCTTTTAGAGTGTTTTCAAGGTGTGCTTTGCTTATTTACCTAAGGGCAAAAAGAAGTTTTTTTTTTTGCTACTTTAAAAGGTTTTCCACCTTATTAAGTTTAAAAGATTGATTGATAATACTTTACGAGTTAAGCTGATATTTCAGTCGACAACCACAGGATTTGAAGGCCCATAAATGTTCTTACTTTTGATGTGTGATTAGGCTCCATGTTTAATGTCGGATCAATTGCTGTACAAAATTGACTGAAAAATGATTGCTTTTTGACTGACAACTATGAAACTTACAGGGAAAACACAACTTTTGAACTAAACTATCAAACTATGGGTCTTAACCTTGAGACATAAAAGGGATAAAGCTGCCAGGTTAAATAAATGTATCATTTCCTTTCAAGTGTGTGACCTGTACATTCATAACATACATTAACATTGGATTTGAAGTGAATTATTCACGGATAGACTCAAAACCATAATGGTAACTGGTTGACTTCCACTTCTAACTGGTCCGTCGAAAGCCCCGATGGTTTGTGAAGTTGCTCAACTAAAATGGTGAAAAACATAAACACCGGTCTATTTTGATTCTGCGGGATGTTCGCCATCCGACGCGGGCAACAGGCGACTGTGAAAACAACATCAGGAACCCAGCCGAGGAATGTTTCCTCTCGGCATTTTGTTATGGGCATCTTGTTACCACATTCGCTGGGCTTAATATAGCGTGTGGTATTCTGTGCGGAAAAGACGGCAGAAATAGAAGTCGTCAAACAGCCAGCTGACACACTCGAGTTGGGGAAGCCAAAACAAGGATTAAGTCTCCCATTCCCAAGTATTTTTTTCTAAACGACTGTACCATTTCATCATGTTGTTGTCTACTTTTTTGAAAATAACATGTTATTTCCATTTTAACAAAGACTTCCAAGCCAACGCTGCAATAAGAGGTTCAATTTCCAACCAAAAAGTACTCAGTCATACCTCCACTAATACATTTCAGGCTGGTATATGGTTTCAGACCCCTTCATATATGTCTCTACATTCCTTTAAATCGAAAACACATGATAAGAAAAAAAAATTCCTGTTGGAGAGGAAATGGATTTGATGGCATGGTGCTGACAAAAAAACGAGTCATGGCGGCGAGAAATATTATGTCGTTGTTGTAGCAACAAGGCCGACCACAACAATGTCGACGACTGGCCTGAGTTTTCTCTCTAGACACTCGTGTGATGTCAAGTTTGTGTGTGTTTATGTATAGATCTGTGTGTCATGAAGGTCTAGGAAATCGTGACCGGAGGGGAAATAGGACGGGACGATCTCACTCCTTCAGATTTGACAAACTTTATCAGAGTTAATGTATGTGTGTGTTTTGAATTAAGCTGTGCTGGGTTTGTTTTACTTTGGAGGATATTTGTTTAAATGTGTGTGCAGAATCGATTGTAGCTTTAAGGATGAGTCATGTCATCTGAGGTGTTGCAGTTGCAGGAAAAAGTAAGCAGAAGAGTCAAGTTCTGAAATATTCATCAATTTTGTAAATAAAGAGCTTCATTTACAGAGATGTGTCATGGAAAAAGTAAAAACCTGAAGAACAAAGAAAAATCAGATGATATTAACAAACGCTACATTTACTGGAATAGACTGAATACCCTTAAGTTATGTAAACAAAGGTCTGCAAGTAAAAACTACAACCTTTAACAAAAGTCAAATGCGCAATATGTTACCTCCTGTTGGGAGGTAATTTGGCTTCACTTATGGACAATGCTTTGAAGTGGAGATGCATCGTCCATCTTTATAATTCAACAAATTAATAAAAAGTCTGCAAAATTAAACATGTGGGACACCTGAGATGACAGCTGTGGAAGGGGCCTGATTCTACATTGTCAATTAATAACATACATGTCCTCTCTACTGGTAGATTACTTCTTCAAATGTCTTCCAATTGCATATTCCGCTTGTATAACTGCACAAAACCAAAATGTATTACTGTCATATAAAACAGAAAAACAGGGAATAAAGGGAAAATGGCCGAGTTCAAACAAACAACAGTGACCACAGCTCTCACCAGCCTTTGAAGAAGTTTACAAGTTTACACAGAGGTGTAAATTGTAAGCAGGAAAAGAAGCAACAGTAAATAAAACTGCTGTACAAACAATTTACCTAAGGATGGCCGGAAATGTGTGAAATTCTAAGGAGTGCGTACGGAGTACAGCGATACCAGCTAGGTTGATTTTTACTCTTTGTTTCTCTCTCTCCGCAACTTTGGACCCTACACAGTGCAATTTTGTCTTGGAGTCCCCCTGCTGATAATTCTGCAAATGGCCTTGTGGCTTCACACAACATGACATGTTGAGCCAAAACCAACATCCAGACTGCTGCTGTGGTGAAATAAAGACAAGGATGGAGAAATCCACGAGCTTTTCTCAGAATGGTGTTGTTCTGAAGACCAAGGACGGGTCTTTAAGATGAAATTACATTTGGATTTTTGGTCGGTCAGGTCAAGTCTGTTTATTTGGTACAAGACAAATTTGCTGCTCTGTCTTTCAAAGTTACTTTAAAAGAACTCCAACACTTCTCACAGCAAAAAAAAATCATTAAAGTCCAAACTCCAAAAAGCCAAGATTTTGCCAAAGTTGTGCTCCCTGAGATGTTAAACTTGTTTCAGATGTTTACATTTCTGGAGAACACAACACGGTGGAAACCAGGTTGTTTGATGATGCGGTTTCATTTCAATCCACTCAAATCTTGGAGTCCTGGATTTATTAGATGATTATCTGCAGCTCTGATTTGTGTAACAAAGAGAAAAGAGGCCGTGGACTGTAAGCAGCTGACAGGATCTCTGGATGCGGATTAAAGACACAAGGCACCGACAGGGCTCCAAAAACTACAATGCTGAAGTCTCCGACCGGTGCACTTGTGTGACCAAGTTTATGTGTGTGCGTTTGTCTGTGTGTGGTACAGAGACGGAGAAGAAAGGGGAAAGTCTTGCAGGAGGATTAGGCTCGATTCGGGGTGGCTTTTTAGGACTCCTGTCGGGTGTAAGATCTAATCTGGACACGCTGCATCTGGGCTCCGCGAGGTATGGCTTACTGTAACAAAGGACCGGCTAATGAGGGCCGAGCAACAGACTGCGCGCCCACACCACTGCACACCCATAATGCCCTGCTTCATTTGGGCCTCAGGGGGGATCCGGAGGGGAATGAAGCCCACAATCGACGACCCTGGGGAGGTAGCAGGCTGATAGGGCAGATACAGGGGCGGATTGATCTTGTTTCAGGCTCAGATAAGTGCCTCAGTGCGAGTGTGGGAGGCAATAATAGAGTCAGGTACTGAATGTGAGGGCCTGTAATATAATTTAACAACACCGTCCTCTGCCAATGCACCAAGAGGAGGGGAGGGTGTGCACATACAGAGCCAGGATTTCTTTTCTGGAGGGTAGGAAAGAAACTGTACTGTAAATGAGACAAAAAAAACAAAGTGAGTGAGAGAAGCTGTTTGCACCTGAGGATATTATAAACAGTCCAACAAGGCAATGCAA